TAATTCTCTGTTGTTCAAGCCACCAGCAGTGGCATTTTGCGTGGAGCCTGGAAAAGCTCATTCGGGCCAGGCTGCCAGGAGCCCTCCTGCACGATCAGCCGTGGTTCAGCCTGAGTGCTCACAGCTCATGCTTGTAGCCTGGCCATCGTCAGGAGAAATTTGCTGGAAAGAAAGCCGCTCTGCTGGCTGTGCCCGTGAGGCCGCCTCCACGTGAGGGAGGGAGGCCTTCCGGGGCACCGGCACACCCAGCGTCCCTGGGGCCCGTGTGGGAGGCCCCTCGTGGCCTTGGCAGAGCTGCCTCCATCCTCGCTCCTCGGCTGCTGTCACCATGGTAACAGCCTCTCCCATCCCGAGCGTGTGTTCCTGCCGAGACATCTGGATGAAGCACGCTGTGCTCAGTTAAATCGATGGAGCCCAAGGCCACATCCTGCTCGTCACTGAGCCCGCCCGCTCTCGGCGTCCACCTTGCGGAGGACAAGCCAGTCCAGCGAGCCCAGCAGCGGTGCCCTTGGGGGTGCTCACCCCCTGGGGGAGCTGCGTGTTGTGTGGAGATGCAGTCGCTCCCGACAGAGAGGCAGCGGGAGGAGTCCAGGCGGGAAGTCAGGCAGCCAGGGTTCTGCCTCTGCTCTGCCACCTCGGTGTGCAGCCGGGGCCTGCCCTTCCTGGGGTCGGGGTTGGGGGGGCCCTTCCTGCAGGGGGGCTGCCCTCACCAGCTCCCGGGGCCTTGGATGTGCCTCCTGCTCAGTCAGCTGCTGTGTTTTCAGAGTCATGTGCTGAGGCCTCGCCCCTAAAGCCATCACGGCGTCGGTTACTGCTTGTTGCTTCCTGGAGTCAGCGGGCTGCTCCCCAGTTCTCACTTCAGCCCCTTGCAGAGTGAACCAACCACATGCTCCCATTTCCCGTCTCGACTGCTTTATGGTCAGCAGGGATGTGCCCAGTGGCTGGGCGATGGCCGTTTTCACCCGGGCCCCGTGCAGGTGAGGGGGACCGAGGTTCACAGGGGCGGCTCGGTGGAACGAGGGCCACTGGGAGCCCAGGGACCTCCCGCATGACGTCCCGCAGGCCCTCCAGGGGGATGCATGCAGCTCTGGACTGAGGGCCGGCGACGGTGCACGGTGCTGGGGTGGCCTCCTCCGGCTTCGGGATGGCAGGCGATGCCCTTGACAGCGGGAGACGAAGGAGTTTCTATAAAAATCCCTGCAAACCCGATGACTGCAGGTCCCTTCCCTCCCCTTCCTGTGTCCTTGACAGGAAGCGCCACAGACTTCTCTCTGGGGCGGAGCGGAGGGCGGGGGGGACCAATACCTGTTTCTGAGCTTTGCTGTGTCCCCAGGTGTGGCTGAGCCACGGTCAGGGGACCGGGAAAGGTCTGGTAGGCCCAGCAGGTGCTGGTGTTCCCTGTGGACCGTGAGGCCGCCGCCGAGCAGGGTGGAAGCCAAGCCCTCCCGCAGGGATGCACTCGGGCTGAGGCCGGAAGGCGGCCCGCGCTGGGACCAGCCGCTGGAAGCCCAGGCCTTGGAGGCTGTTGGCAGAGGGCGGGGAGCTGCCCTGGCTCCTGGCTGGCGTCTCGGGGCTGGGGGCGCTGACACGGGATCCGCTGGAAGAAGCGGGCGAGGCTGGGGGGCGCTGACACGGGATCCGCTGGAAGAAGCGGGCGGGGCTGGGGGCGCTGACACGGGATCCGCTGGAAGAAGCGGGCGAGGAGGGGTGTAGAGGGCAGAGTTCATGGTCCTACCCGGTGCCCATGCCATTCGCCAGCTCCCGGGGGGCAACCGGGGTGGCTTCCCAGCGCGGATTTCTGCACGCTAGGGGCTGAGACCACAGAAAGCTGCTCCCTCCGGGCCTGAGCGGAAGTTGGAGAGGAAGGAGTGGGCAGGGCTGGCTCCTTCCCGAGGCTCCGTGAGGCTCCTCTGCCTCTTCCAGCTCCGGGGCCGGGGTTCCCTGTGGCTGCGTCGTCCCGTCTCTGCCTCCGCTGTCCTGTGTCTTCTCCTCTGGGGTCTCCTACAGGGACACTTGTCGTTGGACTCAGGGCCGCCCGAATCCAGGATGACCTCCTCTGGGAGCCTTAGCTGGATTGTGTCAGCAAAGGCCCTTTTTCTCAATGAAGTCGCACCCACGGCCTCTGAGGGTGAGGAAGTGGGTGTGTTTTGGGGGCACCACTCGGCCACTGCGCTGGAGAGATACCTGCGCTGGGAGGGGCCTGAGGGAGTCCGCCTTCTCCCCTGGGCTCGCCCAGCCTGACCACCCCGTCCGCCCACCTGTGCTGCCAAGCCTTCCTCAGGGCGGGGTGGGGGGCATTCCTCTCCCCGAAGTGCGGCGGGAGTTTGACAGCAGCCCACGGACAGGTGGGGGACAGTGAGATGGACAGAGCACGGATGGCCCGTCCCGCTCGGCCGGGGGGGGGGCTCGTGATGAGTCAACTTACGCTCCTTCCCAAGGGAGGTCCGACCTGCCGAACCTCCTAGAGCCCCGTTTGTGGGGTTCACCGCTGCTCAAGGACCCAGGAGGGGCTGGGGGTTCATCCTCGCAATGCAAGGGCCCCCCTGGGTCACGCCCAGCCCCTCATTCTGCACCTGGGGAAACGGGCTTGCAGGAGGGACACGGCTTTCTCAGGTAGCACTGCCATTCCAGAGAGAGCGCAGACCAGCCACCCAGGCCAGAGCCCGGGCTCCCAGCCCAGCACTGGGCACTGCCCCCGTCAGGGCCACTGCCACGGTCGCTGTAGGACCAAGTGCCTCTAGGCTCACAGGCATGTGGCCAGCGGGGTGAACCAGGGGGAGTGTCCACGTGTCCGTCTGGGGCATATTGTCGTGCTGCCTACCGAGGCCCCTTCTGCACCTGCGTCCCTGTCGGGAGGCCGACCGCAGGCCCCGCTCTGTGACAGGACTAAGGGGGACAACAGGGACAGCCCCCCTCAGTCACTAACCCTCTCACACAGGGCGGAGCCGGGCCGCGGGCACGGGCAGGTCCCCGGGGGCTGAGCCGAGGTCTTGGAGCGGCTGGGTAGATGGTCGGGTCCTGAAGGATGCCATCCGGCCGCAGGGGTGCCGGGCATGGGTTCTGGATCTTGGGGTTCAGAGACACACATTGACCCTGACTCTGGCTTTGTCTCCCTCCACTAGGGTCACGTGGAAATGCAGGCTCCGTGCGTCACACCTGTCTTTCCCCGGCGCCCACTCTGTCCAGAGCCCTTGTTTTGTTAATTCTCACCTGAGGATATTTTTTCCATTGATTTTTAGAGAGTGGAAGGGAGCGAGGGAGGGGGAGGAGGGGAGAGAGAGAGAGAGAGAGAGACATTGATGTGAGAGACACATTGTTTGGTTGCCTCCCTCATGTGTCCCAACCAGGGGCAGGGATTGAACCTGCAACCCAGGTACATGCCCTGAACCAGGAATAGAACCCGTGACCCTTCAGTGCACAGGCCAGCGCTCTAACCACTGAGCACACCAGCCAGGGCAGAGTCCTTTTTTGAAACAGCAAGAGAGGGTCCCCGAGGCTTGGGCTGTGAGAACCTCGGTCCTGGGCTGTTGGCGGGATGGCAGGCTGATGTGGGCGGGGTTCGCGTCACAGATGCTGCAGCCCTTCCTCATCAGCCTTCGGTCTCACTTCTCGCGATTTAATCTCTGCTTCGCATTGCGCAGAAAACCGCCGTTTCCAGGGCAACCGCTTCAGGCGGCGGTGACGGTGACGGTGACGGCGCCCCTGGTCCTCTGCATGTTTCCGTGGGATTCTAAGTTTGTGGGAAGCGCGGTGCTTCCCGGGAGGCGGGATTTGAGCGCCAGCACAGACCCTCCTCGGCCCCTGACGCACAGGGTCAGGGTCTTTCTGACGGTTATAAACTCGTGTTCACAGCAGTTTCCAGAAGACGCCCCTTTCTACTGAGAGAAAGCAGCGGGATGGGGGCGGGGCTGACGGGAGGCGAGTCCCAGCGTCGCCGCGGGTGTTACTGTCTCGCAGTGACGGGCAGCTGGCAGGCACTGGGCTCTGAGGTGCGGCCGGCGGTGTGCCAGGGGCCGTGCCTCTGCTAGTCTCCGCCGCAAGCCCGGGTAGGAGCTGTTAACCCATTTCACAGGCGAGGAAACCGAGGCACCGAGAACCGGGTCTCGTCCTCGTCACACGGCAGGAGCTGGCCGAGCTGAGCCGGGGCCACCGCACATGCAGAGGCGGGCATGGGACGGCCACTGGGAGCCCAGCAGGCGCTCCACCACGCTCTGCCTTCTGCCGCCCCTGACGGGAGGCAGGCAGAGGGGCCTCATGGGTGGCACTGGCGGGGAGAGGCTCGGGTCAGGAGGGAGGTGGCAGGTCCAGGCTTTTGGGGACAGTGGACGGGCACTCCGAAGGGGCAGCCAGTGGGCGTTGCGACATGCAGGCCTGCAGCTTGGGGACTCTTTGGGGTGGGTGTTTGTCCAGGGGCTTGGGGAACGGAGAGGTGGCTTAGATGTGGGGTATGTCAGGGAGGGGGGGTGGGGAGACCCCAGGTTATAGAGGTGGGGGACCCCAGGGTGTAGGGTGGGGGACCCCGAGGGTGTAAGGGGGGGACCCAGGGTGTAGGGTGGGGACCCAGGGTGTAGGGTGGGGGACCCAGGGTGTAAGGGGGGACCCCAGGGTGTAGGGTGGGGACCCAGGGTGTAGGGTGGGGGACCCAGCGTGTAAGGGGGGACCCAGGGTGTAGGGTGAAGGACCCCAGGGTGTAGGGTGGGGACCCCAGGGTGTAGGGTGGGGAGACCCCAGGTTATAGAGGTGGAGGACCCCAAGGGTGTAGGGTGGGGACCCCAGGGTGTAGGGTGGGGGACCCAGGGTGTAGGGTGGGGACCCAGGGTGTAGGGTGGGGGACCCAGGGTGTAAGGGGGGACCCCAGGGTGTAGGGTGGGGACCCAGGGTGTAGGGTGGGGACCCAGGGTGTAAGGGGGAGACCCAGGGTGTAAGGGAGGGGCCCAGGTGTAGGGGGGCCCAAAGTGTCGCTCAGGGAGGGGGCAGCCGCACCTTCCTTGACGGCCCAGACATCGTGGACATCAAGCCGGCCAACATGGAGGACCTGACGGAGGTGATCACGGCGTCCGAGTTCCACCCGCACCACTGCAACCTCTTCGTCTACAGCAGCAGCAAGGGCTCCCTGCGCCTCTGCGACATGCGGGCGGCCGCCCTGTGCGACAAGCACTCCAAGCGTAAGCGGGGTTCGCGGGGAGGCGGCGGGCGGAGGGCGCAGCGGGTGGCTGGTCGGGAGAGGCAGGTTTCGAAAGGGGGCGAGGCTGCTGAGGGGTCGGCGTGGGGGGGATGGAGAAGACACCGTGGGCCCCAGGGTGGACCCCAGGGTGGACCCCTGGGTGGGCCTCAAGGCGGACCTCAGGGTGGGCCTCAGGATGGACTTCAGGGTGGGCCTCAGGGTGGGTCTCAGGGTGGCCTCAGGGTGGCCTCAGGGTGGGCCTCAGGGCGGGCCTCAGGGTGGGCCTCAGGGTGGACCCAGGGTGGACCCTGGGTGGACCCAGGGTGGGCCTCAGGGTGGACCCAGGGTGGGCCTCAGGGTGGCCTCAGGGTGGGTCTCAGGGTGGGCCCCAAGGAGGGTGGACCTCAGGATGGACCGCAGGGTGGGCCCCAGGGTGGGCCTCAGGGTGGGCCCCGGGTGGGGCAGCAGAGGCGGGAGACAGCTGTGCTGGGTGTTCTGTGCGGTGGAGCTGCAGGCTTTGCCAGGTGGGATGGGACCGGTGACCACAGTGTGGGTTGGGTTGTGAGTGGAGGCTCAGACAGTGAGCGAGGGTTGGCAGCTGGTTCCTCTCTGGAAGCTCTGGGAGAACCCGCCCTCACCTTCCCCAGCTCCCGGGCCGTTTCATTGAGATGATTCCTCTGGTGAGACGGGCTGGCCTGTACGTGTGCCACAGAGAAGCCTTAGTAACTTAGCAAGTGTGGTTCAAGCAGGTTGACTTTTATTGTTGCTTCAAGCAGGTTGACAGTTGGAGTTAGTTTTGTATTTTAAAGTTTTGGGGATTTCCCTTTTTTGGTTAATCCTCACCAGAGGATATTTTTTTCCATTGAAATTTTTTTTTTTTAAGAAAGTGGGAAGGAAGGAGGGATGGGGTAGAGAGAAACATCGATGTGAGAGAGACACGTCAATTGGTTGCCTCCTGCATGTGCCCCAACCGGGGCAGGGATTGAACCTGCAACCCAGATACGTGCCCTTGACCCAGAATCAAACCCATGACCCTTCAGGGCACAGGCTGGCACTGTGACCACTGAGCCGCGCCCAGGGCTGGGGATTTATTTTTTTTTCTCAGACCCAACACCCTGCACAGAAGCTTCCCTTGAAGGCAGCGCAGGTGCCCGCCCTCCTTCCCCCCCTTGCAGCTCCCGTGTCCTGGTGGGCGGGTGGCCCGTGTCCTGCGTAGGCTCCACCCAGATCCCGTCACCTCTTAGTTCTGAGAAATTAAGCAGCTGGTGGCGGCTTCGCAGGGGACGGCGCTGTTTGCAAATCAGAACACGAATGATTGTCATTTGAGCTAAATTTTTACTTATTCATTTTTAAACACATATATATGTTAATATTTTTATTGATTTCAGAGAGGAAGGGAGAGGGAGAGAGAGATAGAAACATCAATGATGAGAATCATTGATCGGCTGCCTCCTGCACTCCCCCTACCCGGGGTCAAGCCCGCAACCTGGGCATGTGCCCTTGACCAGAATCGAACTCAGGACCCTTCAGTCCACAAGCTGATGCTCTATCCACTGAGCCAAACCGGCTAGGGCCTATTTTTATTGATTTCAGAGAGGAGGGAAGAGGGGGAGAGAGAGAGAAACATCAATGATGAGAGAGAATCATTGATCGGCTGCCTCCTGCACGCCCCCCACTGGGAATGGAGCCCGCAACTCAGGCACGTCCCTGACCGGGAATCGAACGGGACCTCCTTGTTCAAAGATGGATGCTCATCCCCTGAGCCTGGCTGGGCTAGATTTTTAAAGCGATTCGTAGGTCAGAACTCTCTCTTTACGTCCCACTTCCGTCCACTTACCCCGCTGCCGTTCACACGCGGGGACAGCTGAGCGTGACACCGAGATGCAGCTCGCGGCGTCACGTTCCCGGTAGGTGAGACGGTGGTTTCTGAGTGAAGGGTGCCCGAGCTGCCATTGCTCAGATGAGGAGGCTGAGGCTCAGGGCAGAGCAGTGCCCTCCCTCCCCCCCCGCCCACCCGGCCTCCGTCAGGGGCAGAGCTGGGTGCCCAGTGGCTGCTGTCCGGCCCTACGCTTCCTGTCTTTCTCCGAAGCAGAGAAATCGAGGTCTTTTGTCTGCTGGTCATTATTATGACAGCGTCACCATGGAAACGACTGTACATGAGTCCTCAAAACAGTTATTTCTGCTTTTACCAGCACGGAGTCTGCCAAAAGGAGGGCTGTGCCCGGGCTGAGAGCTCTTAGACCAGGTGGTGATGGCGGCCGCCACCCCTGGTGACCCCCACTGTGCGCTGCCCCCCCCAACCCCCCCCCCCCGTGCCGGTGAAGTGGCCGCAGCGAGGCTGTGGGTGTTTACGGCACATCGGGGCGCATCCCCAGGCCTCCATGAGATGGAGGCGGGTGCTGTTCACGTTACAGGCCGGGGACGGGGCATTCGTTTCCTGGGCAGCTGTGACAGAGGCCACGCGTTTGGCTTAAGACAACACAAATATGCCCGCCAGCGGGGCTCGTGGCTGAGCATTGACCTATGATCCCGGTCAGGGCACAGGCCCGGGTTGCGGGCTCGATCCCCAGTGGGGGGCGTGCAGGAGGCAGCCGGTCAGATTCTCTCTCACCATTGATGTGTCTCTCTCTCTTTCTCTCTCCCTTCCTCTCTGACATCAACTAAAAATAAATATATTCTTTTACAACTTGAGCTCAGAGGCCCAAAATCCAGGTATTGGTTGGGTTGTGTTCCTTCCGGAAGCTTCAGGGGAGAATCTCCTAGAGGCGCCTGCACTCCGACCTCCGCTTCCCTCACCCCTCTTCTCCTGCCTTTGGCCTCCCTGTTCCGTCTCAGGAGAACCTGGTGGTCACAGCGGCCCGTCGAAGAGACCGGGACAGTTCCTGCCACTCGGGTCCTCAGTCCCATCTGCAAAGGCTTTTGCCGTGAGAGGCAGCGTGTGCAGGCTGCTAGGACTGGGATGCAGACGCCTGGAGGGGCCATTGTTTTTTACCACATAGAGGCACAGAGAGGCTAAGACACTTCCCCAGGGTCACACAGCCAGGCAGAACGAGGATAGAGGCTCCGATAGTCTCCCGCCCATGGACCTGTGCTCTTTCTCAGTCTTCACAGGATCTGGAGGAGGGGCCGCACACAAATGAAAGAGATGAGACAAGAAATAATAATTTGGAAATATTGGGGGCCAGGCGGGCAAGCCCAATGCAAGAGAAAGGACTTCTACCGGTGCCCAGGCCTCGCCAGCCTTTTATTCAATATTGGATACACATGTAGCTCTTAGGCAGGTAATTGCAGTAACAGACAGACTATCTTAAAGGTCAGTAAATATTAGAAGGATTTACTCTGAGACTATTTGATCAGGAAATAGCTTGAGCCCCCATTGTCTGGACTAGACACTCGGTGCATAACTCTGGCCCTTGCCGTGGGTTCAAGGTTCACCAGCGTTCCGGGCTCCTTGTTGGCACTTCTCTGCTAGTGAAGACAATGGGCGGCTTCCTGCACTTCCCACCCGGCCCCCGTGTGTGACAGCAGGGACACCACGAGACACCCACAGAGCAGGCAGCCAGTAGGGCCCAGAGAGCTTAATTACGCGGAGTCGTTAAAAACAAGTAGGGTACGATTTCTGTGGGTTCAGAGCCTCCAACTGTAAAATAACTGATGGAGCCCATGACAGTGAGGGGGCTCTGGGAGGTGCCTTCAAACTCTCGGCAGCAGTAATGACCGTGAAATGCCCTTGGCGGGTCCATCAGGGAGAGGGGAGACCCCGGTCCTCTTACAACGCCCGGGAGACGCCCAGCTGTGAGTGCGACGGGACTGACACGGAGGAGGGTGCAGTGGACGCTGCTGTCAGTTGGTGAAAAATGTCCGTATCAGAAATTTCAAAGAAAATGACGGGTGTTTGCGCCTGCAGAAGCCAAGGCGTCGGTGCAATTATTATTCCCGGGGCGCAGAGCACGACTCTGCGATGACCAGTCAGAATTCAGAGGTCGGAGAGGCTGAAGGTGACCCGCGGGGGGACGTGGTCCAGCGCCCGGGGCTGTCCGGACCCCTCGCTGTGCTGGCGGCAGCATCACCACTAGGTGGCGGTAGAGGGCAGCAAGCCGTGCCGCTCCCTCCACCCGTCCTTCCAGCTCCAGACCTCGGGCTGGGGGTTCAGCCCCCTGTGCCTCCGTTTGCTTGGCTATAAAGTGGGAATAAAAATACTGTTTTCTGGGGGGTGAGATGCAGTGATCCAGAGAAAGGGCTCGGCGCGGACCGGCTCGGAATCGGTGCTCCATAACATTGCTGGGTCTCCCCTCTTCGCGGGCTCCGTCCTGGGCGGGCGCCCGCCGGGAGCTTTGGTGGGTGACTGAGGACCGCACAGCGAGCGCACAGGGTGGGAACAGCCGTGCGTGGCCCCGAGGCCGTGGCAGGAGCGGTGGTGACGGGCGTCTCCTTTTGCCTCCGCAGTCTTCGAGGAACCCGAGGACCCCAGCAACCGCTCCTTCTTCTCAGAAATCATCTCCTCCGTGTCCGACGTGAAGTTCAGCCACAGCGGCCGGTACATGCTCACCCGGGACTATCTCACGGTCAAGGTCTGGGACCTGAACATGGAGGCGAGGCCCATCGAGACCTACCAGGTGGGCTGTGGCGTGGAGGCCCCCAGCCACCTCCCCGGTGCTGGGAACTCCCACGGAGGGGCTTTCCCACGTATGGGGGGGGCTTTCATACGCCCATTTAAAGGTGATGACACCGAGGCTCAGGAAATCAAGCAGACGTAGCTCGGCCGAGGGAGGAGGCCTGCCCAGCCCTGCCTGGCAGGGAGCTCTGTGCCCCTGCCCGCCGGCCCCTGCCCCGAGGCAGGCTTGTGAGTGGCCTGCAGTCCCGGGCCCTGGGCAAGAAGAGGAGCATCAGGCCGGGCCCAGTCTGAGGGCGCAAATGATTCCGGGGCAGCCGATGGCATGCTTCCCGCCCGCCTGGGGAGGCCGCACCTGCAGTTCTGCATTAAGATGGCAAGCTTTGCCCTCTCCAGGGAGCGTCCCTGGGGCGCGCGGTGGGGAGATGGGAGTGTGTTACCTTCCTCAGTCCTGGGCACAGGCCTTTTAAGGCACCTTTTCGGAAAGTCTTTATTCAGTATTTTTCTGTTAGGATTCATCCGGATAGATTAAGGAGTAGGAAAAAAATTCAGGGGATGGTAAAATAAAACAGGGACCTGAAAGAAATATGGGACTGCGATAAAGTTGCTTCAAAGTGGTTTCCAGTTATGTCTTTAGCTGGGAGATCGGGGAGGCTTCCTGGAGGAGGTGACATTGGGCTGGACCTCGTAGGATGGTAGGATTTGATTATGCAGGTGTGGATAGAATAACACCCTCCACACACCCCAAGCAGCCCCGCCAAAGCCTCATGGTGGTCCAAGGTGCACAGGGGGTCCCACACACTCGATATCTGTCACCTCTCTTCCTTACTGTCCCTGGGAAGGGGGTGCCATCAGCCCCCTTTGGCAGAGGGGAAGAGGGGGTTCTGAGAGGTTAGGATATGTGGGCACTGCTCACCGGTGGGCAGCGACAGAGTCAGAGCCCATATCCGTACCCTGCACCTGCCCTGTCTGCCCTCCCTGGCAAGGCCTGGGGGAGGGAAGTGTCCTGGGGGGGTGGGGGGGCACGAAGTTGAGAGGAGAGGACAGGATGGTGCTAGAAGCCACATGCCCACAAGGACATCGGCGTGATTCTGGCCCATCACCCCTTCCCTCAGCTTCTCCTTTCCTGGATGGATTCCTGCAAGGACCATCGCAGCTCCTTGTGGCACCATGGCTGGCTGTTAGCCACGTGTGCTTGTGGGGTGCTGAAGCCCGAGGGAAGTAAGGCATGAGCAGTGCGGGACGGGGGTCCCAGAGGAGGGACAGCAGGTGCAAAGGCCCTGAGCAGGGACACGGTCAGTATGGTCACAGATTGTCGAGGAGCTGCCTGGAACAGAGCGAGCAAAGGGGAGCCTGAGGTCAGAGAGGTGATGAGTGGAGCCCAGGGGGCCTTGTGGGGAGTGGAGGGTTTGAGCAGAGGTCTGACATGGCCCAGCTTAGTTTCAAAGGGATCCCCCTGGCTGCCTGGGGAGATGGCCTGGGTGGGGGTGGGCAGGTGCGGGGAGAGCAGGAGGAGGCATCTGCCATGAGCTGGGGTCGGTGCTTGGAGCAGGGCGGGTCACCTTTCCCTTTTCTCCGTGACGGTCACCACCGTGCCCACGTGACTGTTGTCCTCAGAGGGCACGACCCGACCCCAGGCGGGGTCCTCATGGTCCCGGAACAGCCCATGGGGAATGTGCTGTGGCCGCTTTAAGGATGAAGGCGGCAAGGCTCCGAGAGGCGAAGCCGCTTGTCCAGGATCACACAGCGGGGGAGCAGCAGAGCCAGGGCTCGGTCTCCTTTGTCACTGTGCCTGTCCGCTCTCTGGCCACCGCTCAGGGGTTGGCCATGGGCCCGGCCGTGGGCCCTTCCCGGTGGGCAGGGCTGACTCGGGAGTGACCTCAGACCGGAGGGCACAGCCCCTCGCTGCTCAGGGACACCCACCCTGGAGGGGCCGGGACTGCCAGGGGCCCCCGACTCAGCTGGCCCCCTTCTCGCGCCAGGTCCACGATTACCTTCGGAGCAAGCTCTGTTCCCTGTATGAGAACGACTGCATTTTCGACAAGTTTGAATGCGCCTGGAACGGGAGTGACAGGTAACCCCCGACCTCGCCCAGCGGGCCCTCGACCTGGCAGGTGCTGGGAGGGGGCCGGCCTTCCCTGCAGCTGGCGCGACTCAGCTCTCCATCCTGGGGCAGGAAGCAGACCGACCCCTAATGTAGCTACACCCGCGGGGACACCCACGCTGAGCCCGGTTCTCCTGGCGGTAGAGGAAGTGTGTTAGTCAGTTTTGGCCCCACCGCCAGGTTGTCGGGGTGAGGGCTGTTCCCGGCGCTGGGGCATCCATGGGGCGGAGAGCTTTAGCCACTAGTCTGCCCACCCCTCCTCCTGCCACCACCTCTTTCCAGTGGCACCCCCACTCCAGGCCCCCTGCGGCTCGGGGAGCCCATCCCAGCCCCTGCACCTTCTGGGGCCGGGGGGGGCCCAGGTCCAGGCCTCTCCTGGCCCCACCGCCCGGGGCGCGGCCCTGAGCCTGGGTGGGTTCCTGCTTCCCCATCGCCTGGCTCAGCCAGGGCAGGCGTGGACGGGGAAGGCCAGCCCAGGGCCCAGGGGACAAGGGGGTGCAGGGATGAACCCCACACTGGCAGTGCAGCCGATGTCACCCACCACATGGTCACAACCGGAGCCAGTCGGTGTCACCCCCTCCCCTGCCGTCCAGCCCAGTGTGGGGGCGCGAAGGGGTGCAGTGAGCGCCGGCAGCCCTCAGCCACGTGTCGTCCAGGGCCGTGTGTCCATCCCCCGGGAGCCTGCCGGTCTCGCCTGTGTGGCCAGGAGCAGGCTGGGCTTCCCCGGTTCCGGGTGTTGTGTTGTGTAAGAACTCTGCCACCGCCCTGGGTGGCTTTGGTCACAGTCGCGCGGGGACTATCGGGGAGGCGGGTGCGGGGAGGGGGCTGGAAACCAGGGGATAGGACCGGGGCGGGGCCACCTGGAAGCAGGGGGGCCCAAGCGGGGTAGAGGCGTACGTTCAGGATAGGGGACTCCTTCGGCCGCTGCTGCCACCCTGGGGTCCCCTGGCCCACCGGGGGGGGGGGGGGCGGCGGCAGGAGGGGGGGCAGGTCTCTGAGCAGGACAGTGCTCTCAGTCAGAGGGACCAGCTGGTGCTCACAGGGGGGCCGAGCCAGGATGGGGGCGCCAGCCTGAGGCTGGCTGCGGGGACCCCTGGCACTCCCTCCAGGCCCTGCCCAGGCCCTGCCCCAGACACCCCAATGCAGGCAGCTCCTCAGGTGCCCTGAGCTGTAGGCCCTGACACTTTGGGGTTCCCAGATGAATATGACAGTAGGTCATGGGTTGGGGGTTCAATTCTTAGTGCTGGCAAAAGGTAAATCCAATTGTGTGCGTGTGTGCGTGTGTGCGCGTGTGTGCGTGTGTGTGTGGGTGGGGGGGGGGGTTCCACAGGTTGTGAAGGCTGCCTGCCCTTCCTCGCATGGCCACCAGGGGGCGCAAGTGGCCAGGCGATGCCTGGCTCCCTGGGACTGGAGCCCCAACGCCTTCCAGCTGACTGGGGCCCACCACTTCCTGCCCGCACTTCACACGTGGGCACCCCAGCCCTGGTGGGAGGAGGCCCCATCCTCCCTGCCCCTTAATGGAACCAGGATTAGCAACTGTGGGTTGTAAATGGCTTGAATGAGCTGAATGGGTGCTCTGTGAGCGCTCCGCTGGGCCAGTGGCCCTTCCCTACAGGACACAGGGGGCTGCCTCACCTCCTCCTACGCGGGGAGCTGTTCCCCGTCACCTCGGGGCCACGTGGCTGCACGGGGATCAGTGTCAGAGGACGGCCGCAGTCGCCCGAGTGTCCACGCGTCACGGCGGGGTTACCCTGCGCCCCGCTCCCCCCGCTGCCCGCCTTGGCCGCTGGCACTAGGGCAGTGTGGCCTCTCCTGCTCCCCCAGCCGCCTTCACCTGGCCCTGGCTCTGTCCCCAGGGTGGCCTCACAAAGGCGGGGCCTCAAAGCCACCAGGACAGGGTCCTGGGTCCTGGCGGGCTCTCAGCCGGCCTAATGCCAGGCCTTTCCTCCGGGAGGCCGGCTCCTGTCCGGGTGTGGTGGCCACTCCCTCCTCCAGCCTGGCGTCCGTGCAGAGCCCCCAGGCAGGTCCAGGGCGCTCCCAGGATGACCTGGCCGAGGGTCACACCCTGCATGGCCTCCAGGTGGCTACAGCAGCCGGGCGCCTGGACGCCCAGGGGCACCGCTGGCCCTCACGCCTCTCACAGTGACCGTCGCCCGGCCTTTCAGGCTCAGCCGGCCGCTCCTGCGACCACGCGGGGGGTCACATGGCAGTGAGGTCTCCCGGGCCCCGGCTGAGGGACATTAGCACAGCCTGGCCCCGCAGGGTGAGCAGACTCCTTGGGAGAAGGGGGCGTCCGCGGCCGGTGGGAGGCGGTGCTGTCCACCCCCGCGCAGCCCGTGGGGCCTCCACACACGGCATTTCACTGTCTCAACGGAAAACGTTCTGTGCACATGAGTTAAGGTTTCAGCGGCCGATTTTAGAACAGAAAGGGGCTGAGCCAGAAAGTACACTGATTCTCCGCCCACTCCCTGTCTCCAGGACGACAGGTCTCTGAAAAAGGCGGAACCGACTCACCCCTTCCACCCCCCCCCCCCCCTGCCTGGGCCACCCCCACGTGTGGGGAGCCGGCACGGCCATGGCATCCTCAGCCCTGGGGCACCTGATGTGCCACGCCAGCTCAGCCTGGGTCAGTGACCCCGAGTGGGGCGGTGAAGGGCTTAGAAAAGACAGACAAGAAAATGAACACTGGGTCTCGGTGGGACGCTGCTCCCTGATGAGGAGACAGCACCGGCGCCCACAAGCCGTGTCTTTATTTTGTAGCAGATGCCACGAGGCAAAGTAGGGGCGTGATCACGTTGTTTACAACATTCTCGTGGGTTCCAACCCTACTCAACTACACACACCTGAACTCTAGCACACAGGCACTTGGGGCCAGGTGTTCGGACCACAGGTTCAAGCTCACAACTATAGCCCTTGGCTAATTGTGCTGGGAGGGCCCTGCCCTCCAGCTGGGACGTGCACGTGGCCACGAGAGGACTGTCCCCTCTCCTCAGTCCAAGGCTTGAACCTGTCCAAACACTGTAGCCGCGCCCCATGCCCACGGCTCCCCAGATGCACCCGAGAGGCCGCTGCATGCAGGGCTGACCTGTCCTGGCTCAGAGGGAGGCTGGCCTGTCCTGCCTCAGAGGGAGGCTGCCCAGGGGGCCCGCGGGGCCACAGGGACCCCAGCCCCCACACACAGCCGGTTTGTGCAGGGTTTGCCCCCAAATGCCGCCCAGCGACCTCTGAGCACGAGGCCAGAGGAAGCAGTGTGGGTGTCACAGGGAGGTGACCCCAAACACACTCTGCGGGTGGTGGGCTCTCGGGCTGGGCAGCGGAGCGGAGAGCCACTTGTGGGCGGGAACCAAAGGGATCCTTGGCCCAGACGTGCCAGTCCCAAGCAGCACGGATCTGTGACGGATCAGAGCTCCGTGCGGCCGGCTCACTGGGGAGAGGAGAGAGGAGAGAGGGCGTCTCCTGGTTTTCACAGTGAGGACAGTGGACGGACAGACGGACTGTTCTCCTTAGCAGGACGGGCAGGTCTGTGAACACTGGCACATCAGCTGTGTGCGGAGAGCGTTCACTGATTCACTCAGCTGCTTAGAGGACAGAGGGTCAGCTTCCTTACAGCCCAGCATCTCTGCATGTATTCCCTCCCGCCTCACCCCCCACCCCCCATCTCAACGCCTGGGGCTCTGGCTCCTGGGCCAAAGGGCACGTTCAGGAGACTTCTGTTCGGATGTTGGGGGCAGAGCACTGACGGGGCCTCAGCTCCGGCCTTGACGTGTGGGCGGCGACGGCAGCTGAGACGTCAGGGAGGACGAGGGTGTCCCCGAGGCAGGCTGGCCCGCCTCCTCCCCGGGCTGCCTCTCGGCGCTGGCTCTGCAGCCCGGGGCTGACGGCTTGGGAGGGGGCAGTGTCCTCTCCGCGTCCCCGCCTGACGCCTCCCTTCTCCGCAGCGTCATCATGACCGGGGCCTACAACAACTTCTTCCGCATGTTCGACCGCAACACCAAGCGGGACGTGACCCTGGAGGCCTCGCGGGAGAGCAGCAAGCCCCGGGCCGTGCTCAAGCCGCGGCGCGTGTGCGTGGGCGGCAAGCGGCGGCGGGACGACATCAGCGTGGACAGCCTGGACTTCACCCGGAAGATCCTGCACACGGCGTGGCACCCGGCCGAGAACATCATCGCCGTCGCGGCCGCCAACAACCTGTACATCTTCCAGGACAAGGTGAACTCCGAGACGCACTAGGTGAGGGCCCGCCCGCCGGCCTCCGCAGGTCCCCGCACAGAGGTCCCCGGCAGTGCACTGTGGGCGGGGTCCCCGCCGCCCAGCCTCTCCCGGCTTCCCTGGGCCGGCGCCTTTAAGAGGAGAACAGGGATTCACAGCCACAGACGGCAAAACGGACACGTCGTCGGCCTTGCCGTTCAGGGTTCCTCGTCCTCGTACTTGGCCCCGCGCTGTCTTTCCCGCATTATTAGGGTCTTCACGTCTCCGGGTTAATACCCCCCAGCGGTTCCTTACGCACCCCCTGTGGCCCCAGGTCGGGGCTCGGGACAGATAATGAAGCTCAGACCAGCCAGCCGGGGGCCCTCGGATCCGAAAGGGAGTGGTTTCCAGGGCCTGGGAGCGGCGGCTCCCCTGTGCGTGGGGACTGAGTTCATGCTGAGACGTTGGGGACGCAGGCTCGTCATTTAGGTTCTTCCCATGTCTTTCCATGTCCCGGTCCGTCAGGGTTCTGAGTGGAGGGGGTGCCCTCTTCCCGTGCGTGTGCCTGCTACGCCCACCGACTCCCCCAGCCTCTGCTGCGGGCCCGAGGCCTCAGGACACCCACGTGATCCCTGTGCACCCAGCGCTTGTGCAGCCCCGGGCACCTCGTGGGGATTCCCTGCCCCGCCCAGGACCTTCTGGAATCTTCATCGTGACCCTCTACGCACCCCTACTGCTCACCGTGTGCCAGGCTCCGTGCCAGGTGCCAGGGAGGGGAAGGTGAACAGTTCATCACCCCCATGGCTCACCCGAGGAAACAGGCCCCAGAAGGACCCCCAGTTTGCCCACGGCGTGCACCCGCGGGGCAGGGGGGTGCGTCAGTCCTGTCCGGGCCTTCCGTGGGCACCGACCTACCACGCTGGTGGCTCACGCTGAAACCACAGCCTGGCCTGGAAGCTTCTCAGCACCTGTGAGCGGGACAGCAGGTGGGACGACGGGTCCCGGAGCCGAGGTGCAGGGTGGAGAATGGAGAAGCCCCGGGGGCTCCCCGCTGTTTGCTGGCTTCAGGAGCTCGCCCTCCACCTGCTCCTCCCAACCCCCATGCGGCCCCCTCTCTCCTCTGCAGACGCACTGACCCGCCTCCCGGAGAAAATTGCATGTTAGGACGATTTTAGGCACCTTTTCTGTAGGGACCCCACCGTCTCGGGACTCTCCTGGGGCCACAGCATCAAAACCAGCTCCGCCCGCCCCACCCACCACCCACCCTGGTCTTTGCCGGGAAGGGCAGCGGGACCCGGCTGTGCTCTTTGATTCAGAAAACAGCCTGCACAGGCCCCACCAATCCCAGCCTTTTCTGTTTTAAAAAGATGTAACCTGACGCAGGAAATAGACCCACCCGGGATTCTGCTCCGTGGGTGACGGTGTACCCACCTGTGTGTGTCAAAGCACAAACGCATGGCACTCGCCTCCGGCCGTTCACACCAGGGAAGGGTCCGTGCATTCCTTTTTCTAATCAAATGAATGAAGAGCGTTTGTGTCTCACGGCAAGACCAGGCCGCCTGGCCACCGTGACCTGTACATACCCCTCCAATTAAGATGAACAGTCACGGATCGGATCCCGCCCACCCCCTTTGGAAAGAGGTTCGGGAATGGGGTCAGTTGTCTGGAAACCTGTGGGAGCCAGAATCCAGCTCTGAGGGCCTGACCCGGCCCTTGGGATGTTCGCATGGTTCCCTCTGAGGTTGCGCCCCGGAGAGGAAGCCCGCCCTGGCAGCTGGGGGCTGTCCGACCCCGGATCTCACATGCTCCGTCTGCCAGGTTCAGATCCCACGCAGGACCCAGAGGGAGGTCTGTGCACGGCTCCTGGCTCCTCGCGTCTGTTTTAAACGTTGGCTGAGACCAAATCAAAAAGGGAAAGAAAGAAAACGATCTTCCCGAAGAAAAGCCCGTCTTGGGATCCCTGGGAAATAATGTCCAGAGAAGACTGAGTAACCAAGTGCGTGTTGAGAAAAGGGGCGGAGGGCGGAGGGCAAAGCCGGAACCGGCGGGAGGACCGGAAACAGTCACAGGCGTTGCTTCCCGGCGGTTGGTTTTTCTGCTCTTCGTGCCTGTGGGGCTCGCATGGTCCTTGCGAGGTGGTGGCTGTCTGTCTTGTCAGCTCTCCGGGGCGGCAGGGCAGCCTGGGGCCATGCGGGGGCGTGGACAGACTGACCATGTTGGACCCCGTAACTCATGGGTGCATTGTTTTCTTTGGTGTCTCACAAATTATCCAGCTGTTGAATAAAATTATAAATATGTGAATACCAGCCTTTTCCAATAAAATAACAAATGTTACATCGAAAATGAGGCTCAGAATGGTATTTGTTTTTTATTTACTAGTGGCCCAGTGCACAAAATTTGTGCCAGGAGGGGTGGTCCCTCAGCCCGGCCTGCATCCTCTCCAGTCTGGGACCCCTGGGGAATGTCTGCTGGTTTAGGCTTGCCCCCAACCCCCCCCACCCCCCCCCGCTGGCCTGCTCACCCCCAACTGCCCCCACCTGCTGGCCTGATCGCCCCTAACTGCCTCTGCCTCAGCCCTGCCACCATGACTTTGTCCGGAAGAACGTCTGGAAAGTCTCCCAGAAGGTCTTCCGGTCTAATTAGCATATTGCCCTTTTATTAGTATAGATTTTTATTTTTTTAATATTTTTATTGATTTCAGAGAGGAAGGGAGCAGGAGAGAGAGAAATAGAAACATCAGTGATGAGAGAGAATCATGGCTCGGCTGCCTCTTGCACACCCCACACTGGGGATCGAGCCTGCAACCCGGGCATGTGCCCCGACTAGGAACTGAACCCTGACCTCCTGGTTCATAGGTCGGTGCCCAACCACTGAGCCACACGGGCCAAGCCCGTGTTGTTTTGGCAAGGCCCACCACAGGGCGTGGGTCCGGTCCCAAGGCGACACACCTGGGTGCAGGAAAGCCCGGACCACTCCAGGCTCTGCTGCCTCTAGCTCCCAGTGCAGCCTGGGATCTCTCCAAGCTGAGTTCATCACCGAGGAAACGGAGCTGATCATCCTGGGAGGGAAAGGGGCTGCGGGGCGAGGCCTGCAGAGCTCGGGCTTGGCCATGAGCCTCAGCATGGGGAGTTGGTTCTGAAGCTGGCGAGCATCACCCCCCATGATTTCCAAGTCCTCACCCTCTCCCGGGATCTTCAGGGTTTTCATATCCACCGTGAGAATGTGGTGCAGATGAGGAAGTCAAGGTTCTGAGAGGTGAAGGATGAGCTGGAGCCGCCCAGGGGGGAAGGGCCAGGGAGGTGGGGCGTGAAGCCACCGCCTGGAGGAAGGGGCCCGGCGCAGGGAACGTGGGCTCATCCGGGGGTTAGGAAAGGCAGGACGCGGACTCTCCCCCGGGGTGTCCGGCAGGAACCAGCCCTGCCCACACCTCCATTTCCGGGAGACCTGCTAGACTCCCGACCCAGGCCTGTAAGAGAGAAGGTGTGCGGTGCTAAGCTGCTCATTGTCCCACGGGCCCTGGAAAATGAATTCACTTGGGCACCTTCATTCCATCCCCCGCCCCCCTCCTCCGGCCCCGCCGGCTGATTCCTGCAGCTCTCACAGCTGAGGGCCCTCAGGCAGGTCCCGGCCGGCCTGTCGCACACGTGAGAGGGCAGTGGAGGTAGAGCCATCGGACTCCACGCTGCCCTCGTTGGGGGTGGCAGGTGGGATCCTGCTGGGAGCTCCCGGCAATACGCAGGGGCTGGCACCCACATCGTGGCGAAGCGGGGTGGGCGGCTGTACATCGTCCTGGGCTAACCCCCTGGACCTGTCCCCCAAGCCCCCTGTCCCTGACTCCCCCGTGAGCTGGCAGCACCCCCCTGGGCTCACTTCCTTCCTATAAGGTTTCTAGCGGCCAGAGCCGCCCGCCCCGCTCTCCCCTGTTGCTGCTTCTGTCTGCGCCCCCACCCCTTGTTTCGCTGTCCCAGCTTCCATAAGCACCCCTCCTCGTCACCTGGACTCTGCTGTGAGCTCTTTCCTGCACAAAGTCAAGAGGCCAGGCAGGCCAGGCCGCCCGAGGCAGACCCGCTCGGCCAGGCTCTTTCCAGGAACAACGTGAAGTAATGCTCAGACTCTGACCCCGACTCCAGACCTCTCCGAACTACAGGCCATTGTCTGCTCAGATGAAATCGTCCCTGTCACCCTGTCTGTCCTCAGCCTGGGGGCGCCGCGGCCCTGACCCCACTGGGCTCCGTCCGTGAGCCGTGGCCGACATGTGGCCGGCTGGGCGATGGGCCTGGCTGGCCGCCAGCATTCCTGCCCTCGACACCACCTTTCCGTGGGCCCCTGCGAGCCATGCCCGTGCTGAGGGGTCTGTGTACCTACGTCACCCCATTCCAGCGCACAGCACCCCAAAAGAGGATGCTGTGACTTCCTGCACTTTGCAGACAAGGAAACCGAGGCACAAAGAGGGGACTTCGCAGGGCTATAAACCTGAGTCCTGGAGCCAGCCGGGATCGGGCCGGGCAGAATCACCACCCCAGGATCCTGCAGGTGATTCTGATGGATGCCCAGCCACGGCTCCTGGGGGTCCTCTGCCCAGAACTAAGGCTGCCCCCACCCCTGCCCCCAGACTGTTGACCTAGAGCCGCCCCCCCCCCCCCCCACCACCACCACATGTTGGGGCAGGGCCTGCAGAGGTTCAACCACCTGGTGAAAACTTGAACAAAGGCTCCAGCTTCTGGTGTGGTTTCCTAGCAACCGAGCAGCTTTAAGAGCTCAGAATAATTGCCTGAGTTCTGAGTGATTCACTTCAAACAGCTCCGTCCTTTTGGAAAAACAAAGCCCCATTATCTCCGCCTGGATCCATTAGAATGGGGCCCACACAGTCAGGTGATGCCATCCGATCAGTGCCTTTCAGGGAGGGGCTGAAACGTGGGCAAAAGGCAGCAACAAAAGTACAATGGAGATGGAAAGGAACCCATTTTAAAATGATGCCCCAATGTCAATCAAACATGCAAAATAGGCATGGAAGTGTGGAGGAGCGAATCATTCACTTAGCACCTTTGCAAAGCCTGCCCGAGGAGCAGGTGACCGCGGCATCTGTGAGTGAGCCTCGCCTTGGACGGGCTGCTAGGGCGTTCTGGCCTGAGACGCTCTGAAAGAATTCACACCTGAGAGAAGAGATAGATGTGGAACGTTTATTTTTACTTTCCCCGAAGGGAAAGGGCCAGGTGCCGTTTGATGGCACAAGGCACCCAAGACAGTGGGCTGCTCTGTTATTAGGGTAAATGGCAGCGGGGCAAAGCGATAAAGAGAGGAGAGGGAATCGGGGAATGCACGTTGGCGTTTTCCAGCTCCGGGAGGCTGTCCTGCGGAGCCAAGGCTTGTCTGACCTTCAGCCATAGATGTCCTCGGGACTGTAAAACGTTCTTAGAGCGAAGCTGCAAGGGGTTCGGAAGCGGGGCAGCTTGGGTTTGAAAGGGAGGGAGAAGAGCCCTGCCACTAACCTGAAACTTTCCGGCCCGATTTCCCCGGAGTCATTAAAACTGCAGGGAGGAGGGGGACGCAAGAATGTAGCCTTGAAAGTAGCTTGGCTTGTCTTGCAGTTTGAACAGAGGGGCTGCTGGGATCAGAGGCGCTAACAATCTTGGGGCTTCATTACCAGGTGCTTCTCATACGTTGAGGAAGGCCACAGCCAAGAGAAAGAAAGGCCTTCTGCCCTTACATGGACCGCCGTTTATCTCTGCCAAGCTGTGTATTCGTTTATCCACCCAACAGATGTTCCCCGAGCACCTGCCAGGGGAGCTGCATGGGGGGCTGGGGAGGTCGGAGCAGGGCCCTGCAGCCCGCTGCTGATTCACAGCCTGGCGTTGATGGGCTGTGGGTCTCGGGACACCACCTACCCTGCTCTGCCTGTTTTCTCGTCTACAGTATGTGGAGGCTGAGTCCCACCTTGTGGGGCTGTGGGATTAAACAAGAAAATCTTTGCACACGTCCGCACAGAGCCTGCCCCCCCACCCCACCCCCGCTCCTGCGTCCCCCCAGCCAGAGCCCAGTAAGGGCATCACTGCTGTTCCCTTTAACTGAGGTCTTGCTACACCTGCCGCGGGCCCAGCCTTCCCTGGGGAAGTAGGAACAGCTGTGTCCTCGCTGGGCGTGAAGAGGCCTTGCTGCGCAGGGCAGCCTGCAGGAGGGAGGGGTGCCGGGGTTGCTGGGGAGCTGGGGAGGGGAGCAGGAGGGGGTTTGCTGGAGCGTGGAGCCAGCAGGCTGACCCAGACTGCCAGCACCAGCCGGATGGTGGGTCCTGTGCTTCCCCTGGTCCCGGCCCTGCTGGCCAGAACCCGGATTTATTAGCCACGCAGGTGGGAGGGGAGTGGGAGGGCCTCCCCCAGCTGCATTGGAACCTGGCACCCATCCCTCTCCATGGGGCCACCCCACTGGGTCTTTCGGGAGCAGCTCAGACGCTGCTACTGCCTCGTGGAAGGCCCGTGAGACCCTACACTGACCCTGCCTGGGGCTCCCCTGGCCGGGGACCGGGTGAGGCCCAGCCCTGAGCAGGCAGCCGACATGCTGGTGCTCCCGGCCAGTCCGAGGCCACTCCATGGGCAGTGTCTGAGGAGGGCGCTCGACCCCAGGAAAACGCCGATTTCCTCGTGGCCCCGGAGGAAGGCAGGGCTCCCACCTTGGCTCTGCCGTGTGACTTTGGGCAAGACGTGGCGCCTTTAAGAATTCTCATGGAAAATGCTGGCGGGGGAGCATGAGACCTATTCGCAAGGACCAAATGACTTCATGTAAGTGGTGCCCGACCCACGGTGGCTCAGACACCTAGGCCCCTGCCCCTGGCTGAGGGTGGTCAGGCCCCCCCCTCCTGAGGGACGCCTGGTGCTGCCCCCACCCCCTGCAGAGACACCTGGTGCTGCCCCCCCCACCCCCCCGGCAGGGACACCCGGTGCTGACCATCCCCCAGTAGGGACGCCCAGTGCTGCCCGCCGCCCCCCCCCCCCCCCTGCCCAGGGACACCTGGTGCTGGGTGCAGGCAGCAGCCTGTTTATCAACAGGAAGCGGCGACAGGAACACAGCAGGAGCCTTGGGACCACAGGGCCAGGGGCGGTCTCATGTTTACGGTTCATGGAAGCGTCCAGCCTCAGAGCCAGAGCGCGCAGCTGGCCAGGCCTGCGGGGAGGGGCGGCCTTCCAAGCCTCTTCTCCTCCAAACTGTCGTCTGCCCAGAGCTCAGCGGCCTTTGCGGCCCAGGCTTCAGAGCCCGGAGGGGCTCCGGCTGCTGGCAGGGTGGCCCACCTCCACCCCGGCCTCTGACCTCGGCTCTGGCCGCGGGTGGCCCGAGGCCTCCCGGGGTGCCCTGCCGTTGGTTTGTCTTCCTCTGCCCTCGCCAAGTCCAGCTCCTCCCCCTGCTCTCACGGAGGGCGAACCCACGTGCTCCCAGAAGCCACCTGCCCGTCTCCCGCCCGGGCGGGGGTGCCTCCCTCCAGCTCCCGTGGCACTTCCTGCTCCGAACTGGGGCCTCAGGTCCGACTCGGGTGGCTGTCCTGAGGGCGGCATCTGCTCAGCATCGCAGCGCAGTAAATATTTGTTCGAGGGCGGCCAGCGCCTTCGAGGCTCATTAGTTAAGTTAAATAAAGAATGTTTTAGCTGGTCAGTCATGGGTACTGGACACGCTTTCCTGCATGTCAGGGATGAGGGTGGACAGTGCCTCCCGGGGTGCATGGGGGCGGGTGCAGACCGCGCCATCAGGCACCCCGCCCTCTGCCTGGATTAGGCCACTCTGATCAGCTCCACTCTAAACAGGGTTATTTTCACAAAGTTTAAGTTTCTAAGAAGCTAGAAGGTTCTGAAGTTCCATGAGTATTTAACGCCTTTTAAAAATCCCATGTTTGGTGAGCATTTACTAGGGCCTGGCCCCATTCTAACCAGCCTGCAAGGGAAGGAACTCATCTGAGCCTAAACACCCGCGGCAGGGGCTGGTATGTCCCTAATTCACAGCGGCGGAAGCAGAGGCCTGGGATCACGGCCTCTCGCCCCAGGTCGCAGGGCTGAGTCCGAGTGGGATTCCCGTGGAGCGGCCGGCTCATCCGCTGTGCCTGCTGCGCTGAACTTACAAAGCACCTTCCCCCTTCGGACTGGAGTCCTGGGCGTTGAGTGCTTAAGGAGGTTGCATTGCTATCAAGTTTTGAAAACCACTGACTAAGCTCCGACGTCCTGTTTCCCAGGTTGGACAGAGGCCCGGGGATGGCCTGAGTGGCTGCTGGTCACGCCGGGATTTGTGAAGGAGGCAGAAGTGTAATCTGGGGTCCAAAGCCCAACCCCGGCAATCCTCAGGGGCCCAGCCACCGTCCAAGCGCAGGCGGCTCTGCCCAGCACGGGGGGGGGGAAGGGGACAGGCCGCCTCGGCCACGCGGCTCTGCTGCTAACGTGTGGCCGGTGTGGCCTCCTCCCCAAGCCCGTTTCTCTCCTGTGGCTGGCTCGGGGCTGTCAGTGCACCTCCCTCACACAGGGTTAGGACAGAGGTCACCTGTTTGCTCAGGAAGTGCCAGCCCCCCGCCCCCCACAGTTAGTGGTGAGTCTGGGGGGGAGGTGAAGCTGACCTGTGAAGCATTTAGTGGCCTCAAATCTTTAGGATCAGAGAGGAGGTGGGGCTGACCTTTAACCTCACCCCCACACCGCCTCGGGATGTGGGGCTGCAGGATAAACAGGACGACGTGACGCTGTCTGGCACTGACCACAGGCCATGGTTTCTCAAGCCGCAGGAACACGCACGCGCTATTTCACCAGCGACTGGTTTCACAGATAACTGCGACCACGTTGTTTCAGACGTGGCAGACTGCGGGCCAGCCGGGCGGTCAGCCACGAGGCAGGGCCCAGCCTGGAGGCGGTGCCAGGCCTGCTCACGGGCAGGCTCGCCAACTCCTGCACCGGTTCTGCTCGTTGCAACGCAAACTGCACCGGCGTGGAACTCGGCGCAGGGCAGACCTGTCCTCGGGGCCGCGAGCAAGGCCTTCCTTTAAACAGAGGCGGGAGGAACGGACAGTGGTTCCAACACAGGCTTTATTCTGCTGTTCGGAGCCCCGCTGTTCTGCTCCCCGTGGGGACATGGCCAGGCTTTCCTCGGGGCTGGAAGGGACACCCCAGTTTCTGTTTCCTAGGCCTGATGGAGCCAGGCGAGACCCTCACCCACTCCCCACTCCCCAGAAGCGGAAGGCAAGCTGTGGAGCAGAGCGCAGCGTGGACATGCTGTGCCCCTCGCTGCCCCTCGCCTGGCTCCGACCTGGAGGGAACGGGGGGCGGGTGGGGAGGCCTGGGCCATGTGATGGCTCAGAGAGCCCGCAGGGCTGGCAGACAGCTGTCGAGGCTTAGCAGCCACCAAATAAATAAGAAGTGTCATGTGGAGTTTACACAGCAGCACATTCAAGAACAAATCCACACAGAAGTGAGCAGGACCGGGTGCTGGGGGGAGGGAACATCACTGCAAAGTGCCTCTCGGGACGGGTGTCCGGTCCGCCCGGCACCCAGCCTCTCGGGGAGGTCGGGATGGGCGTCCGGTCCACCCGGCACCCAGCCTCTCGGGGAGGTCGGGACGGGCGTCCGGTCCGCCCAGGACCCAGCCTCACTCAGGGAGGTCGGGACGGGCGTCCGGTCCGCCCGGCACCCAGCCTCACTCGGGGAGGGCAGGTCGGGGTCAGGCTGTGCATGCAATTTCCACGCCGCTGGGCATTCCAAGTGGCAGAGCTGAAGCAGGCAGCTGGCGGAGGAGGCCAGCTGTACATGACAAAGGCCCCTGCACGTGCACACACGAGCACACACACACACACACACACGCGCACACTCAGCATTAGTGTTGCGCCGGCTGGCTGGACGGCCGCGCCCGTCCTGCACCCCCAACCCGCAGGGACGCGCCCTCACACGGCCGACAGGAAGGGGAAGAAGAAGAAGTCGAAGGCGAACTTCACGGCGCCGTGCACGGTGCTGCGCCAGTCCTGCTCGATCTTCACGTGGCGCCGGGCGGGCGCCAGCTGGGCCATGCAGTTGAGGCAGCTGATGGCCTTGAGCTCGAAGACGGGCCACTTGCTGCCCAGGCGGCCCTCCAGGACGGTGCTGAACTCGATGAGGCTGCCCTGGCGCAGGCCCAGCAGCACCTCCTTGAACTCGCTGCTGGCCCGCAGCACGATGTCCTTGGTCACGTCGTCGTCCTCAGGGCCGCGGCTGCCGTTGGCGCTGAAGGGCATGCCCACGGTGATCTCGAACTTGTAGCGGTCGAACCGCTTGATGTGGCAGGGGTGCTTGGCCAGCCGCTTGAGGCGGCACAGCTCCTCCTCGGCCGTGGAAGCGTTGCCGGGGCTGCAGGCGGGGTAGGCCTCGCCGTACAGGCAGCGCATCCAGTCGCCGATGACGAACGGCAGCATGTTGATGGCCGACTCAGCGCTGTTGTCAATGTCCGTCACCCGCACGTACTTGAAGCGGCCCGTCCACGTGACCCGGTGGCCCTCCAGGTGGCTGCACAGGATCTGGGTGCGCGCCATGTTGGTCTCCTTCCAGGCCCGCGGCCCGCACAGGGCGCCGTACTGCGGCCAGGTCAGCGTGGAGTTGTACACCTTCATGCCCTCCGAACGGTACACGTAGAACCAGCAGAACAGCACGATGGCCGAGACCCACACCAGGATGAGCTTGACCATGGAGCTCCGCGTCAGCGACTGGACCATCTCCAGCACCGACAGGTTGGCCCGGCTCCACCAGCGCAGCAGCAGGGGCACGCTGCAGAGCGCCAGGGTGACCGTGATCTTGGTGAGCTCCAGCGACACGAACCAGAGGGCAAACTGCACCAGGCCCATGAGCGCCAGGCCGGCCGCCAGCACCGGGAGCGCGAAGAGGAAGAGGAAGTAGCCAATGGAGGCGCGCACCAGCCCCAGGCCGGTGGAGTGGAGCAGGATGACCACGGAGAGCTCGCACCACATGAAGCAGACCAGGTAGGGCACCAGGTAGCAGTAGGTGCCCTGGAAGCGCCGCAGCTGCGCCATGCGGAAGAAGAGGAAGAGCAGGTAGACGTAGAGCAGGCAGGGCAGGCTGACGTTCAGGACGACCAGGTGGCCCACGGGCACGGTGAAGAAGGTCTGGCCCAAGAGCTTCAGGCCGCCCCAGTCGAAGGGCAGGCTGGGCAGGAGGGAGAGCAGGCCGGCGGCCACCTCGGTCAGCAGGGCCCTGCGGGTGTAGGGCTCGGCGGAGCTGCTCAGGCTCATGTAGCTGGTGGCGGTGAAGAAGACGGCCACCACGGCCAGCTCCGAGCAGGGGATGCAGTCCTTGCTGGCGATGGGGAAGGAGAAGATGACGAAGGCGACGGACAGCAGGAAGTGGACGTAGGGCTCCAAGTGGTTCCAGCCGAAGTTCCCCTCGGCCTGCTCCACGTCCAGGTTGGGCTCGAAGCGCAGCAGCAGGCTGGTGAGCGTGCGGAAGCTCTCCCAGGCCTTGCTGTCCTGGAAGACCTTGAGGGTGCAGATCACCATGGAGACGAAGGACAGGTAGAAGACCACCAGGGGCACGAAGAAGGCGAAGAAGTCGATGGTCAGGTTGCTGATGATGAAGAAGAAGATGAGGGCGTTGATGTGGTGGGTGGGGACGATGGTGGACAGCCAGTGCATGCCCGCGCGGGAGGCCATCTCGATCAGGTACTCTTTGATCTCCATGATGGCGTGCAGCGGGTACTTGACCACCTGTGGAGAGGGGGCGAGAGGAGGATGTAGCCAGGACCGGAGGCCTGCTCGCTGCCCCTCACGCCCCCCAGGAGGCAGCCACCCAGCTCTGGGCGATCACCCTGCTCTCCCACCACTGGCCCCCGTCTGTGCGGGTCTTTCCACCGCAATGCACTCTCGGTGGGCCACTTCCACCCATTCTGGGTCCCTCCCCTCCCCACGGGCCTCACCCTGTCCACACAACAGCACCCTGGGCTGCCGGGCATGGCTCATCTCCCCCTGTGCCTCGGGGCGCCCCACCTGCCCAGGGGGACAGGAACCGCACATCACAAGCCCACGCTGGGCTCTAAACAGTCCCAGGTGGCAGTGGGGGCAGGGGCTCCAGAAAAGCCAGGTGTGAAGGTGGAGAGCGGTGTGGCCGCCCACTGAGGGGAGGGGAGTCAACTGCAACAGGGCTGGGCAGGCGGGCCATGTTCGCTGGTGTCAGGAGACCCAAGGAACCAGCCACTCCCCCTAAACACACCCGCCCACCCCCACACACACCCCCACCCCCATACACACCCGTGCACCCCCACACCCACCCACCCCCCCATACACACACCTCCACCCCCATACACACCCCCACCCCCATACACACCCCACCCCCATACACACCCCACCCCCATACACACCCCCACCCCCATACACACCTCCACCCCCATACACACCCCCACCCCCATACACACCCCCACCCCCATACACACCCCCACCCCCATACACACCCACCCACCCTCATACACCCCCCACCCCCACACACACCCACCCACCCTCATACACCCCCCACCCCCACACACACCCGCGCAACCCCCCACACACACCCCCATACACACACCTCCACCCCCATACACACCCCCACCCCCATACACACCCACCCACCCTCATACATCCCCCACCCCCACACACACCCGCGCAACCCCCCACACACACCCCCATACACACACCTCCACCCCCATACACACACTTCCACCCCCATACACACCCCCACCCCCATACACACCCACCTACCCTCATACACCCCCCACCCCCACACACACCCGCGCAACCCCCCACACACACTCCCATACACACACCTCCACCACCATACACACACCTCCCCCCATACACACCCCCACCCCCATACACACCCACCCCTCATACACCCCCCACCCCCACACACACCCGCCCACCCCCATACACACCGTCCTGCCCCCCATCCAGCACCGTGCTCTTGAATGTGCCCTGTCCTTGGGGTGCTCACTCAGCCGTCAGCGTGAGGTGGCGGCCATGCCTGCTGCCCTGGGCTGCGCACGTCTGCCTCCCCCTGGGTGCCGGGCTGAGCACTGTCTGGCTCTCGCAGGGCTCGCTGAGCTGTATCCCCAGTGCCACCCCTGGGCTGAGCCCCCCACCACTGAGGGTGGTCACACACATCCGTCATGCACAGACCCCGAGGGCTCTTGGGTGACTAATGGGCTTTGTGAGGCCTGTCTGCCAGGCCCTGGGCTGGCCGACGTCTGCAAACCTGGCGCTCTCTGCAGGTGAGACGGGCGCCCGTGGCTCAGGCCAGTGAGCAGGGGAAGTGCGTGGAGGGCAGGTGGCCACCTGGTGTCTGCACCGAGGTCTCCGCAAGGACACACGGCTCACAGGCTGGCCCGCCACGCCTCGCTCTCCACACGTGCGCTCCTCCCTCGGTCAGGCCGTGTGGGGCTGCTTGCGGCCGACGGCGGGGAAGGGGTGCCTCCTGCCCTCAGGCTGGCCCCAGTCACCTCCTCGCCACTCTGTACTCCGCCCGTCTCTCCCTGAGCCCCCGCAGACCTGGTAACCCGGCGTCCCTGCTCCCAGGTCCCCCTGCTCTCCTGAGCACCCGCTCTTGTTCTGCAGGAGGCATCGTTGAGGAACTAACCTCCATTCTCTCCCATAAACAAACAATTTCTCAGAGTGACACCATCTAAATCACACTGGGTGGCCGCGTGGCACCTGCTCCCCTCAGCATTTCTCAGACACGGAGGCGCCTGGGGGTCGCCGCGCTCACCTTCAGGCGCAGGGGCAGGTCGTCGGGGCTCTTGCCCGCCAGCTCGTCGTCCTCGTCGTCCTGCAGGAACAGGTCGGTGGGGAGGATGCCCTGGGCGTACTTCTTGGTGATCTCTACGAAGTCGTCCAGCGCGATGTAGTTCTTGGCTAAAGCGGAGAGAACGGCACAGGCAAGGCCGTCACCGCCTGGAAGGCCGTCACGCCTGGGCGGCAAGGCGGGCAGCGGCTGGGCCAGCTGAGGCAGGGGCTCAGACACCCATCTCCGACCTGGGTGGTGGGTGAGGACCCGGCCAACGAGGAGGAGAGAGAGAGAGGCAGCAGGCTGCCCCCGGAACAGAGCAGGAGCCGAGACCCCACCCTCAGTGCTGGATCTGCCCAGAGCTCCGGCCCCTTCCAGACACATTTCCCACCTGCACGGCGGGAAAGTGGACGTGCCCTCCCCCCACCCCCCATGCAACTGAGACCCTTAGGGCCTCTAACGTCCTGTGAGGACTGGTGCCGACCTGGGAGCTCCCATTAGTGCTGAGCAGCCCTGGTCCCCCCACCACTGTCTCCTCCGAGTGGGCGCCCGGGGCTCTGTGACCAGGAGTGCACTCACACGCTGCTGCTGCACACGGGGGACCTGAAGGTGTCTTCTAATTGGACGTCCCGAAGGCACCCCAGCTCCCGGAGCCCCCGATCCTCCATCCCTTCCCCCATCACACTCTGCCCTCTACCCCACAGCCCATGCTGGGCAGGGAGACCCCACTCTCCCTGCTGGGTGCCCCCCTTACCCTTCACTGTGAGCTGCCGCCCACCCTTGCTGACTGCCCAGGACCCGCAGGGACCATCGTGTCTGCCTTCCCGCTCAGACGCTTGCTCCCAGTGGGTAGGGGTCCAGGTCCCGCGCCCAGAACTGACACCCATCACGCCCCAAGACTGGGGACGCGGTGGACGCGGGCACGGGGTGGCGGGCACGGCTGTGTGGGAGCTGCCACGGGCAGAGGAAGTGCAGCTGTACTCACACTCGCTGCTGACCAGGCGCTCCAGCACCCGCCGCTGCTTCTGCAGGGACTTGGGGACGGGGCCTGGCTGTGCCCCTCCATCTGCAGGGAGAGAGTGGAGCGAGGATGAAGGCGGGCAGCCCTCTGCAAACCAGCGGTGCACTCCTGGGGGTCCCCAGCTCTGGGACCACAGGGCCTGCAGCCTCCTCTGTACGCCACGTCTCTGGCAGCCACCTCTCGGCCTCCACCCACTAGGGTGACTCAGTGCCCCTCTGGGCATAGTGCGTCCCCTTTATGGACACACTGAGACCTCTGGTCAGCATAACCGGCCCCAAACACTTCACTGGCGTAGTCCTTGCCGGAGTCCTCCCTGGCCTAGACTCTGCGTCCCGTGTCCCAGCCCTACTGCTGGGGCTCCGTCCGGGTCTGCTCCAGGAGTGAACACAGCCGGCACCGGAATGTTCTGCCCTTTTGTCAACGTCCGTCCACCGACCACACCCACCTGGGCTCTCCCCGCGTGCCACCCGCTGAGGGCGGACCCTCAGGAGGGCAGAGCGTAACAGCAGGGAGTGGCTCCGTCACCCAGCAGAGGGGCAGCAGGTGGAGCTGGTCACTGGGCTCCGGGTGGCCCCAACTGTCACACCGAGCATGGCCACCCGGAGCCCCAGGACGGAGCCCCAGGCACGGGGTGTCCGCAGAAGGCCCTCCCTAGGCCACGGGAGACCCCGGGGAAGGCCGCGTACCGTGCTCGTTGACCTGACCCACGTTCTCCAGCAGCTCGGACACAGCCACCTGCTTCTTCCTCTTGGGGTTGAGCTTCCAGTACATGACCAGCGCCGCCTTGCGCACGGCCCGCTCCAGGTCGGTCTCCGAGGACAGTTGCTTCACCTCCTGCTCGTTCTCGGAGGTGATACCTGAGGGACCAGAGGGCGCATCAGGGCCCCACCCTGCTTCCCTGAGCCAGGCTCTGCCCGAGAGGCCCGGAGGGGACTCATGCGAGGGGCGTCCCAGCCCCTTTGGTCACCAGGCAGAAAAGTACATCTGTCCACAAAGGACACTAGGCCCAGTCCCTGCGGGCGCCCACCACACCCAGCAGCCACTGTGGATGGGCGGGGGCCACCTGTACCCCGCTCGCTCCTCAGACCCTGGTCCTCGTCCTGACCGACTCCCTCACGGCCTCTGGGAACTACTGGCTCTGACTCCGCCGTGGGGGACGCACTGACCTGCTCGGACGGTGCACGGACGGCCTGCTCAGGAAGGAGGCCGGTGGGGTGGGACTCTGGCCACCACCACCGCCCATTCGGGTTTCAAGGCATCAGCCCACATCTGAGCTGAGGTTTGGCAGGCAGCACGCATCCCCTGGGCAGCTGCTCCGAGCCCCGCCGCACCCACCTTTTCTGTCTGCCAGGCAGCGGCGGAGCAGCTTGACGGCCTCGCGCCGGCCCTGCTTGGCGGCCAGGGTCAGCCAGTCCACGGCCGTACAGTTGTTGAGCTCCTCGTCCACGTCGCCCGCCAGCTGCAGGTAGTGCTTCCCCACCTGCCAGGGAAACACCGCATAAGCCGTGCCCAGCAGGGGCTCCTCCTCCTCCTCGCCCCTGACCTGACCCCCCCAGCCGGCCCCGCCCCTGACCTGGCCCCCACAGGCAGGCAACCTCAGGCTTCCTGGACCTCCTGCCTTCCCTAGTGCCGGACCAGCCTCCCCTGTCACTCAGGCCAAGAAACAAGGTTGCAGGAACAGGGTCCCACTGGCATCTGCACTACGCTGGGCCTGTGGGACCCTCAGGGCACCCGCTCCTCACAGACAAAGGAGGGCGTGGCACCCCCTCCCCAGATGCAAGGAGAGTAGGGTGGGGCAAGGACAGGTGTGGGCAGGACACAGGAGAGTCATGTGAGCTCCCCAGAGAGGCGGCAGGAGTGACCGGGCACACAGAGACACACAGCAACAGGGGCCAGGCACATGGCGGCATCACCACGCGGCACCCAAGCCCGTCCACATGGCACCGACCCCCGGCACCGACCTCCATGGCCACAGAGCTCTCGTCCAGGCCCGCTGTTCTGGGGGCCACGGCCTGAGCCTCCCACCAGACACCGCCGTCCTCACCTCCGTCTGTGCCTTGGGGTCCCCGGCCTTGGCCCTCTCCAGGACTTCTTCAAAGGGGGTTTCCACGTCTCCCTTCACGGGCCCTTTAACAGGAAAACAATGTCACGGAGCCGGCCTGTCGCTGGGCAGGGGCCGGAGGACAGCAAGGACGGCCAGACCTGGAAACCCGCGTGAAAACCGTGAAAACCCGCGTCGGGAGGGGAGAAGACGCCCCATGATGCCCCCACGGAGGAAGGACAGCAGCTGGGCAGTCAGCTCAGCCCCTGCTCCGTCTCTGGGCGCCTGGGAGGACGGGGCCACAGACCCCGAGTCCCCCCACCTCCCTCGGCTCACTGCCTGACTGCAGCACTAGGAGGCCCCACCTCAACACCGAACCTGCACCCCGATGCCCCCCACCCCCCCACACAGACCAAAAGCACGTTTTCTGAGATTGCAGTCTATACACACATGGTTTTTGGAAGCCGCATCAGTGCGCATGCATTCTGAGATAAATTTTTATAACAGAGAGTTATAACCAATTCCCACGTCGACCTGCGGTGGGACTTACCATTCCCATGGCTCGGAAATCCCGCTGAGGGGACAGCCAGTGCGCTCGCACAGCAGGACGCCCCCAGAGCGCCAGGCCTCGAGGGGATCCCGGTCCCCTCCGCTTCATACGGGGCCGCACGCCATCCTGCGTGGCATTGTGGGGCTGTTCTCTGAGCTGACGACCAGGCCCAGGCGCCTGCCCAAACCCCTCATGCTTGTGCCGCAGGCCACTTTCTAAGACTGAGCCCGTGCCAGCAGCACCACGTCCCTCACCAACCTCACTGTCCCCTCCCCGCGGCGCTCGGCGCTCGGCACCAGTTTCTTTAAAAAATCCCCTTTACCAGCCCCTTCCTGTGATTGACAACCAGTGCTCGGGGCCTCCTGCTGTGCGGGGTACAGGGAGGGGCGGGGCCTCCTGCTGTGCGGGGGGGGGGTACAGGGAGGGGCGGGGCCTCCTGTGGTGCGGGGCACAGGGAGGGGCGGGGCCTCCTGTGGTGCGGGGCACAGGGAGGGGCGGGGCCTCCTGGGTGCGGGGCACAGGGAGGGGCGGGGCCTCCTGCTGTGCGGGGCACAGGGAGGCGTGGGGGCTCCTGGGTGCGGGGCACAGGGAGGGGCGGGGCCTCCTGGGTGCGGGCACAGGGAGGGGCGGGGCGGGGCCATCTGCGGTGTGGGCACAGGGAGGGGTGGGGCCTCCTGTGGTGCGGGGCACAGGGAGGGGCGGGGCCTCCTGTGGTGCGGGGCACAGGGAGGGGCGGGGCCTCCTGGGTGCGGGGCACAGGGAGGGGCGGGGCCTCCTGGGTGCGGGCACAGGGAGGGGTGGGGGCTCCTGGGTGCGGGGCACAGGGAGGGGCGGGGCGGGGCCATCTGCGGTGTGGGCACAGGGAGGGGTGGGGCCTCCTGCTGTGCGGGCACAGGGAGGGGCGGGAGTGGAGGGAAGCCTGACGGGGTGAAGCGCCTTCAGAATCAAAGTGCCGAGGCCCGGCGAGAGCCGCCTCCGCGGTCACTGGCCCTCCAACAGGTGTATGAGGAAGGGGGCGCTGTCTTCGGTCCAGAGCCAGCGTCCACAAAAGCTGAGCCTCAAGCCCCGCTTGGCCTGGCTTACACTGGACCCCACTCCTTGACCCCACACCTGCCCAGGGTGCCAGCAGCCTCGTAGCCTGTGCCCAGGATGCCTGCATGGTCTGGTCCTTCCTCCCTCACACACCCAGCATCTCCCCTCCCGCCCGCTGTCTCCGCACCCAGCTGGACAGACCCTCGGACAGCGCTGGGGGAACACTTCCTGGCAGTCTGCACCCTCACCCAACGGTGCCGGCCCCCATCCCTGCCTGTGGCCCCGCAGCTCCCCAGGCGAGCACTTGGCCTGGTGCGAGCAGCGGGAGCCTCGGGGACTCGGCGGTCCTGCGGCTGCGGTCAACTGCTGTGACTGCACAGCCCAGATGTGGGGGGCGGGGACCCCGAGGCGGCCAACCTGCCCAGGACTTGTCCTTCCCTGTCTTCCCCTCCCCTCCTCTCCCCCCTCCCCCCGCCTCAGGGGCAGGACCACACAGAAACCACATGCTGCCTGACTTCTTATCTGAAACTCCCAGGCCTGACTCCGTCCCCCCAGGGCCAGGCCTCTGCAGCCGAGGAGGAAGGAGTGTGGCTGGGCTGAGATTCCGCCCGGCCCTGGCCCGCCCAGCGCTTGGCGGTAAAAGCAGACGCTCGGGGCTCCCCGAGGAGACGGAGATCAGAGTGCCCATCGGGGCTGGCCCAGCAGGACTGGACGGGAGCCTGGTCTGCAGCACGGAGCCCGGGGCCCAGGCTCGGGGGGCGGGACCTGGAGGACAGAGACTTGGGTGGCCCTGCACTCGCCGCGGTGCCTGGACCAGTCTGTGACGCGGTTTCCTCATCTCCAAGTGGGATACCAGCAGCACCCCTCTGCGGGGAGTGGTCACAGCACGCCCGGGGACAGCGACCCCACAGCGGTGCTCATCACAGTGGGGCGCTGCGTGGGGCCTTGTGAGCTGGGGAGTCACCTTGGCAGCAGCCTCTCCCGGGAAAACATCCTGGCCTGCTGGGCACGCTGGAGAGGGGCGGAGAGCGTGACCAGGGGACTGGGGGCTGGGCTGCCGCAACTCACAGACCCCCTGGGGGAGACGCAGCAGGAACAGGAGAGCAGGCACAGGGCCCGCCCTATGGTGGTGGGGGAGAAAAGGCAAGCATCCCCCAACACGCACGCGTAAACACAAGCGCGCGCCCACACACACACATAGTTTGTGGCATAATCTGATACACACACAAGCCCCCAAACACAGACACACAGTCCTGAGCTGACCTTATGGTCAGTCACCAAAGAGGTGTTTAGTGGGGGTCATAAAACTCGATGGACGCACTCATGTGCAAGGGACACCCCAACAGGAGGCCCGAAAGGGACCTCAGTGAAGGAGCCGGGGGCCAGGAGACGCTTGGTGACATTCATGAAGCCTATCAAGTACCACAGCTCAAGATACAGCCCGTCTCTGTGGGCCACCAGGCAGGTCCCTGCAGGGCGAGGGGCGGGGACTCAGTGGGACTCTGCAGGCACGGGCCTGAGGAATGTCCCTCCAATGCACAAGGTCCCAGCGCCCGCACAGCCCTCACGGATGTCTCAGGCTCAGTACCACCCTCCCACTTCACAGATGCAGAAATGGCTGGGTGACCAGCCCAGCCCAGTCACTCCTCCGCAAGTCTCTGGAGAGGTGAGGAGAGTGTGATCGGGGGGCTGGGCTTCGGTAACTCACAGCCCCTCTGGGGGAAATGTGGCCCATCTTCGAGGTCCCTCCGGGCCACGGCACACGACAGACACACAGTCCGGGTGCCCGGACATTTGCTCTGGAGTCCGGTTGGGAAAAGCTTGGGAGAACTAAACGGGCAGCCAACCACAGAGTTTTGTGGCACAGGTTTCTGCCCACCAGGATCCAATTCAACTGCCGGCAAGCAGTGCTTATATCCTATATAATAAAGAGCTAATATGTTAATTAGACTGGACAGTGGAACAGCCTTCCCGAACGACCTTCCGGAATAACCAGTGGTCAGGGGCTGGGGCTACAGGGCCATGAGGCAGCCAGGGCCGAGGCAGCAGGGGCCGTGAAGGCCTACTTTTGCCTGAATTTCATGCATCCGGCCTCTAGTATACTAATAAAAGGGTAATATGCTAAATAGACCGGGAGACCTTCTGGACTTCCTTTCGGACAAAGCCATGGTGGCAGGGCCGAGGCAGAGGTGGTTAGGGGCGATCAGGCTGGCAGGGGGCGGCAATTGGGAGTGATCAGGCTGGCGGGGGAGGAGCAGGGGAGGGGAAGTTGGGGGCGAGCAGGCCGGCAGCTGGGGATGAGCAGGCTGGCAGAGGCAGGCTGTTGGTGGTGATTAGGCTGGAAGCGGGGGCAGTTGGGGGCGATCAGGCAGGTAGGTGAGCAGTTAGGAGCCAACGGGCCTAAACCGACACTCGGACATCCCCCAAGGGGTCCCAGATTGGAGAGGGTGCAGGCTGGGCTGAGGGACACCACCACCCCCCCACACACACACAAATTTTGTGCACCAGGCCACTAGTCTATATATAAAACCCTAATATGCAAATAGACTGAATGGTGGACAACCGAACAACCAATCGGTCGCTATGATGTGAGCTCACCACCAGAGGGTACACGCAGAACATGGCGGGCATAGGCAGCAGGCAGCAGAGGGTGGAACATGGTGGGCATTGGCCACGGCGGGATGGTGAAGCAGGTGAGCAGGGGCACCAGACCAAGGCGGGGTGCTGGTTGCTGTCATCAGGGTGAGCCTCTGCTGGTTACTGAAAATTCTTTGCTCCCGCATCCATGCACCTGCTGCCGGCACCCAGCACCAGCCCATAGCTCGGCGCCATTAGTGGGTGTGAGCAGTGGCTGCCGTCCCCGATCACCCCTCAGGGCTTCTCCACCTCCCTCTGCTCCTGAGGGGCGATTGGGGCAGTAGCCGCCACTTGCACCCGCTGACAGCACCGGCCCCATTTGCACCTGTTGGAAGGGCTGGGCGGGGGCGCAGATGCTGGGCCGAGACCCGCCCCTATGCCCACCGCAGCCTTGTGGCCCACAGTTCCTTTCAAGTGGCACGAATTCATGCACTGGGCCCCTAGTTTTTAAATAAAAGGAGAAAGGAGACTAGCAGCCAGCAGCACACACGGCTGAGCATAGTTGTGGGAATCTGTCCCCATTGACTGAGCGTGCGAGTGTGCCCGTGGGTGGGCACGCCAGGTGACAGCAGTGTGTGTGTGTCTTGCTGTGGGATGAGGTCAGAAGCGTAAGAGGCGGCAGAGCCTTTAGAGTCAGGCTGGGCTGCCACCGGTGGAGGTGGTGCTGGTGGACTGTGGGCTATGGCTCCCACGGGGCACGGGGAGTGGCCACGTGGGGCCCCAGACACTATGGCCCAAAGAGTGGCCACATGGAGAGGGGGCGACACTAGCTTCCCCAGCACGGGGCCAGGGGACGGAGGGGGGGTGCCTTTCTCCTCGCCCCCAAACAGTGCCTGGTGCGGAACCAGCCCAGTGTGAGCAGGTTCGAACTGATTATAAATAAAATAAGGACACGTGACATCCCATCTGCGCAGGTGAGGGCCTAAGGGCTGCGATGGAGTGCTGGCCCTGACCCGCAGGGGAAGCCCCACAGGAGGAAGCTGGAGGGGGCCTGGACCACGCGGGGACTCGGGGCTCACCCTGCACTGTGCCCAGGGAGCAGCCCCGGCCTGGGCTGAGGACCACCCAGCTTCCCAGGCCCCGAACCCTTACCCGTTCTGTCCACTCCTTCTCGGCTCCTGGCACGAGGGGCCTGGGGTGCTGCTGGGGCCCCAGCTTCTCCCATATCTGGTCCAGGTCCAACTTGGGGTCCAGGAGCTCTGGGCGCTCCACTCTTCTCCTGTTTCACCGAGGAAGTGCCATTGAGCCGGGAACGGGCCTGGGGCTGTGCCGGCGGCGACGGCTGTGGGCGGGAGGGGCTCGGAGGAGAGGCACTGGCGTCCATCCTGCCGGGAGAAAAGCTGTGGGTCAGACACACCAGGACCGCCCAGCTGGGCCCGCTCAGGCCTCCTCTTAGGGAAAGAAAGGAGATGGCGAGGGAACGGCTGAGGGCTGCCCAACATCTCTGCATGATCTCTCAGCCTCACCACAGCCTCGTAGGACCGTCCCCACTCAGAAGAGGAAACCGAGGGAGCAAACGCACTCAAGGCCAGTGCTGTCCGGCTCCATGGGGCCCAGCAGTCGGGAGCTCAGGCCCCAACATCTGAGACCTCGAGTCCCCGCCTCACGGGGCACGAGCCACACGGCCTGGTGTCCCCATCTGAGCAGCGAGAGGGAAGCCCTGAAGCAGCCTGGACTCCATGACCGTCCACCCCGAGTCTGCGACGCTGACCTGACTTGGGAGAGGGGCTCGCAGAGGTAACTAAAGCTCTTTGGAGGAGGGCATCAGGTGTGGCGGAGCCCTAATCCACGACGGGTGTCCCTGCCAGGAGAGGAGGGAACAGAGACACAGAGGAGACCACGGACCGGAAGGCAGAGGCAGGACTGGAGCGGTGCAGCTGCGACCCAGGACGTCAGAGTCACAGCAGCTGGAGGCCAGGAAGGATTCGCCCCCGAGGCCCCAGGAGCAGGGGGGGCAGGGAGGGAAGTGGGGGCAGGAACCACAGTCGGTGGGACTGGGATGAAGTCAGACCGGCCCAACTCCAGGCCAGAACCGCAGGACAGATCTCAGAGCGCCAACGCCACCAGAGAGGAACACACACAGAAAAGCAGGTGACGTAAGCCGCGTGGTGTCTGAGAGGATCCTGGGACCGGCTCATGATGGGGGGGAGGGGGAGGCTCAGTCAGTCCACAAAAGCAGCTGCTCAGGCTGGTGGCAGTGTGGACACAGACACTGCTGGTATGGTGAGGACAGTCACAGTCACAGACCCTGGGCTGGGCGCTGGCCCTGGGCTCTGGCTGGGCTTCGGGGACATAACCCACTGACATGGTTGACCCCCGTGTGCACGGTGGGGATCCTGCGAGGCCCCTCCCAGACTCCAGGCCCATCAGCCCTCCTCACTGAGGTGAGGACGCTGAGCGCGGAGCGGGCAGAGGCTGGCAGGGAGGGCACCTGGCCCCCTGACCTGCCACAGCTCCCTGCCCTTGGCTCCGCCCCACCAGCTGTGCAGCCCTGAGCGGGCCTCGCCCCTCTCTGCACCTCAGTCTCCACTGTAAATGGGCTGCCACCCATGCTTGGGGACACTGGGGACCAAGTGAGACCAGACCACGAGGTGCATGGGGGGGGGGGGTCCCCGACATGTCCCAACACCCAGCTCCGAGCATCGAGCTGATGGGGTTGGTGACCAACATGTCTCTAGTGGGGCCTCACAGCCGAGTCTGCCCCGTCCCCAGCTACACATGGTCCCACAGATCTGATCTGTGTCCATCAAAGAAGCCTGCCGATTCTGATGTGGACACTCCTGCCTCAGAGGGAGTCAGCCCTTATTGTAAAACAAGCCCCGGGCGCAAACCTGCAGCGCGGGTCAGGCCAGGAAATCGGCCCACAGATCAAAGCAGTGCAGGCCTGTTTCCAAACCCCAGGCTCCGGGAGCCAGACCACGAGGCCACTTCTGCAAAACCCGTCATCGGCGGCATGTGCAGACCCAAGTGCGTGCCCCGGCCGTGGGCGGGACACTGGCGGTGACGCGGCATACACAACCAGGCACTGCAGGCCACGGCCGACCTGAGCTGGCAAACACGGCAGGACTTGAACCCTGGGGCCACAGCTACTGGCCATCTCCATGGCTCCTGCTGCCCCAGAATCAAGTGCCACCTTCTTGGAATGGCAGAGGGCAGCTCGCCTGAGTGAGAGCTGATTTATGCCTGGCATTTCTGCCGTTAATGACAACAAACATGTATCTGGAAGGTGCTCTGTTCCGGCACTTCCCACAGACTTCTCGGGGGTCCTCGCGGCCCGTCGGGTAGGCAGTAATATCCGGGTGTTATAGGGGGAGACACGGCTTATGCTTCACCCGCCGGTTTCACAGAAGAGGAAGGGCGGGGCCAGGAAAGCAGCCACAGCTCAGTGTGGGTGCTGGAATCCAACCCGCAAAACTGCGAGTTTCTGAAAAAGGGGCCCCTGCAACCCGACCCCACGGCCTTCTCTTCCCTGGTCCACTCCCCCCAAACGCGGTGCTCTTCCAGGCCCACAGTCCCTGCAGGGCCCTCTCCTGCTGTCAGTCCCGGCTGCCCTGCCCGGCCCCGTCCAGAGGGCGGTTATAGGTGCTACCGTCCCTCCAGATGCTGCTGCACTATACAGCTGTTAACAGCTGTACACGAACACTTAAAGCTGTATGCTGTGTACACACGTTTAAACAACAGAAGAATGTGTGTGTAACACTGTTAGGCGGGATTCCAAGCAGCATGACATCTATTTAGGATGAAAACAAAGCTTATCTACAGAAAAAGATGGAAGAAAATGCCTCCACAAGGTAAATACTATCTCTGGGTGGAGGGATTACGGGTGTTTTTACTTAATTCTTTTTCTAAATGTATTTCCCTCATTTGGTGTAACGGATGTGCAAGGTTTTGGGGATTACAAGAATGTTTTTAAACGCACCTCTGGGAGCCCTTAAGGGTGTGGGCCCAGGGGTTCCAGAGCCTGGGATGTCTGCTCGGCCCAGCCCACGGGCACAGGGCGGCCCCTTAAGATAAGGACACCAGGCCCTTGGAGGCTCCCTGGTACCTATTTTTGCCCCAGGGTATTAAGGGCCAAACCAAGGAACATTCCCAAGTGCCAAGTTCACAGGAACAAAGGGCGGGTCACGGGGAATGTCCAGCCGCAGCATCTGGCACGGTGAGGACAGCCACGGTCACAGACCCTGGGCTGGGCGCTGGCCCTGGGCCCTGGCTGGGCTTCGGGGACATAACAGGCTGACATGGTTGACCCCCGTGTGCGCGGTGGGGATCTTGCGAGGCCCCTCCCAGACTCCAGGCCCATCTTCCCTCCTCACTGAGGTGAGGACGCTGAGCGCGGAGCGGGCAGAGGCTGGCAGGGAGGGCACCTGGCCCCCTGACCTGTCACAGCTCCCTGCCCTTGGCTCCGCCCCACCAGCTGTGCAGCCCTGAGCGGGCCTCGCCCCTCAGTCCCAACTGCACTCCGGGCACCTGGCCTGCGCCTGGCACTTCTCGGGCCCCCCTGCCTGGAGAGAGCTCCTCAGCCCGGACAGGAAGGACACCTGAAGACACAACCACGGAGTTGGAGCCGGCCTCAGTCTGCGGTGGAAAGAACCAGGGTGGGGATTCTGGAAGAGAGGCCGGGACGACACCTTCAGGACCGGCAGGCACGAGCCAGGCGAGGGTGGAGGAAGGCGATGTCGGCCATTCCAGCAGGGACTGCCCAGCAGAAAGGGCAGCGGAGGGACAGTGAGCCGGCAATGTGGCCGGGAAGGTGCAGGTGGCGGAGGAGTGGCCTCCGGGGAAGGGGGCAGGGGGATGAGAGAAGAGGCTGACTGGGTGGCAGGGGAAGGTCCTGAGGGCCTGAAGGAGTGCCAGGCTTCTGGCCGGAGGAAGTGAGGACGGTGCTGAGCAGCTAAAGAACCAGTGAGGCTGAGTGGGGACAGGATGGGGGCACCAGGAAAGGGGGCAGGCGGCTGTCCAGGGAAGGGGACAGAGGCCTGGCCCAGCGCAGGCCGCTGAGCACAGCTCTGGAGCTGGGAGAGACAGGGGCACCACTAACTGAATGTGAGGGCGGGGACGCAGAGGGGGGCTGGGTCTGGCTAAGGACCACGGTGGCAATGCTGCTTTCTGAGGCGGGGACGGGGGAGCCGTGTAAAGCATAAAACCCCCTCTGTATTAGGATTCTTCTTGTCACCAGCATCGGGACCAGGGCCCGGTCTCTGTCCTGCAGCACAGGCATTTTGGGGGCCAGGACTGGGCTAGGCTCCCCTCTGTGACCGTGGCCTGGGAGGGCAGAGGAGGCCTGAGCCGGACTTCCATCCTGGGAAGCAAGGTGAGAGGTGGTCGCCTAGCAACCTTTCCTGGGTCCACCTGCTGGGGGAGGGGAGGGGGGAAGACAAAGGAACTTCTGCCAAAATCCCTGGTCAGATACCTCGGGGCTCCCAGGAGAACCCCGGGCGGGGACACCAGCCAGTGTGGCCTCCAGCACGGCCCCTGCACCAGGTTGGGGGTGGGGAGGGAGTGGGGGGCAGTGCGGTGGGCAACCTGCACAGAGGGACTAGGACTCTGTGAGTGATGGATCCGGGCAGGAGGGAAAGCCCTTCCCACGGGCCGGGCCGAACTCCAGGGGTCAGTGTCCAAGGTGAGGACAGGCGGGGCTGCTCCGGGGCAGGTCACCAAATCCCAGCCAGCCTCTGCTTCCTCCCGGGAAAGCGCGACTCCTACCCGCAAGCTGGCCAGGAGGGCCAAACCGTGCACAAATGCTCGTTCCTTTAAAGGGCTGGGTCAGATTCCCCAGATTCTCATCTTTCAAAACAGAAACTATGGTTCGGAGGGCCGGGCTCTGTGAGCCCGGCCCGCTCCCCCCCGCCCCCCGCCTTCCCCAGGAGTGGGGTGCGGTGGGGCGAGACGGGTGGGGGTAGCTGTCACAGTGTCCCCGGGGGCTGCTGCTGCTCAGGGGGCCGGTCCCCACTCGGGGCCTGAACCCCACCAAGCCCCTCGGGCCCTTCCGGCGGCCCGGCGGGAACTGGAGGCGGCCCTGGGTCCCACCGACGGCGGCCGCGGGGGAAGGGCCATGACGGGGCAGCTCGGGACGGTGCTGTGGGGACGGGCGGCCCGGGCCAGCCGGCAGGTCCCCCCCAGCCGCGGGCCGCCTGCCTTTCGGGCTTTGCCGCCCCACACGGGGGTTCCGCGGCGAGGCCCGAAGGGCCAAGGGCGTGAAGTGCTCGGAGCGCGCTGTGCCCCACGATTCCCGGGGCGCTGGGGCGCTCACCCGCCCCCCCAGGAAGACCCCACTCAGGCAGGGGTCGCCGTGCGGCGGCGGAGAGGGCGGGACTCCCGCCCTTCCCTTTCGGGGAAACTTGCAGAAATGGGGACCGGCCGCCCATCTGCTCATTTGGGGAAACTGAGGCCCGAGACGGGCGGCATCTCTTTCCATCCCCCCGCGCGGCCGTCCCCGGTGCCGAAGTACTCACCGGCCCGCGAGTGGGCCGCACGCGGCGCCGCGCTGGCTCTCGGGCCTCTCGGGTCGCAGCAAAGTTGTCGAGAGGAGCCGGACTCGCCGCAGCCGGAGAGAAGCAGCCGGGACGAGCGGGCGGCGCCAGCAGCAGCCACGGCCCGCGAGTGAGGCCCTCCGCGCGGAGAGGGGCGGGGCCGGGGGCGGGGCCACGGACCGCGCTCCACTCCCGACGCGGCTGGGAGGACGCGGCGCTGGCTCAGCCCGCTGAGCGGCCGGCGCGCCTGTCAATAACTGCGCACTTCCGCCAATCACAGCGCGCCTCGCCGGGCTGTGGGCGACTCGTCCTCCCCTGCACTGCCAGGCTGGAGGGCGCCGGGGGCCGGTCCAACTGCGAAAGTTTCCGAGCCGATTCGGGCCTCGGCCCCGCCCCGCCCCGCCCCGGCTGGGAGAGACCTCTGTTCTCTGTCTGTAACAGGTGGTTGATTGGACCCGTGGACAAAACTCGTGCCACTTTCACCCACCACTCTTCAGGTTCATTACACTTGCTGTTGCAATGGTAACAGGTTGGGCGCCTACTATGCGCCAGATGCCTTCATTCCAGGCCCGCTAGGAAGAGGGGGCTCCCCTGCTACAGCAGCAGGGGTACAAAAATGTGGCCAAGCGTCGCTTTACATGTAAAAAATCAAATGCACGGAGCGCTCTTTTCACAAGGTAATTGGGGGGCGCGTTTAAAAATGTGTATTAGCCCAGGGAGCGAGGCAAGGCCAGGCAGCTTGAGAACCCTCTTCTTCGGTCCTGACCCGATCTGAGGGGTGTGGTTTGGAGATGGGGGCAAAGGTCTATCCCTGAGGCAGTGAGGCCCTGGGCCGGGCCTGTGGCCGGTGTCTGCTCCATGTGTGGCCCTCACGGCCACCTGAGCTCAGGGGGGTTGCCAGCGGCATGCTACCAGCATGTTGGGAGCAAAGATTCCGATGCTTTTGGAGATGACCTCCAACCACTGAACACATTGCCCCCGGGCTTTTGTCAACGCTGCAGGCTTCAGGTCCCTCACCTCACTTCATTCCCCAGCTGCCCGCTCCAGCCCGCCCCCTCCCGGGTCCTCCTCTGATGCCGTGAGGCTCACAGGAAGGACGGAGATCGCACCAGGCAGCACCCCATCCCGCCCCAGGTTCAGGAGGTTTTCACTTTACCCCAATGACCCAGCGAGGCAGGTGCACCGGCTCACTGGTATTGATGAGCAAATTGAGGCTCAGATACAGAACCCCTTCCCTCCTTACGATACACGAATGACAGGAAAGTTGGATAATTACAAAAAGTAGAAAGAATTAAAAATGACTCAGAGGCGATTACGACTCACATTTTGGGGCCTCTGCATATTTAAGAAAGGGTTTCCAACACTTGCTGCCGACACTGCATGCGTAGGTGCACGTGCGAGACCGTTCCACCAGGGCAACGACACCCTGACCCCACTACTTGTGTTCATGTGAAGTCTGAAGGGCAGAAACATGGGGTCCTGGGGACTCTTCAGATCTGAAGATACATTTACCAAAGCAGGTTTCTCAGATCTGTTTCCAGGCCACCGCTGAGGGCTTGGGAAATCTCTGTCGGGTTGTTTTTCCCAATTCCTTCCCAATATGGTGACTGAAAAGTGGCCTCTTTGCTATTGTCATTTGATTTCTGTTGTCACTAATGCGGTTGCACGGTTCATGTTAACGCTGAGAAACATCCCCTCTCTTCTTTATTGGGAACTCAGAGGCTCTTTGAGAAATCACCTAAATGAGTTTGTTTTATTTTCAACCCGCCCCCCTTTACCGCCCATCCTCACCTTGAGCTTGGGGGACCGAGAGCCTACCTGGATGGCCCTGCAGCCCACCGGGGGAGCCAGCCATCCCCCCTGCACCTGCGAGGCTGGAAGCAGAGAGGTCTCCCACAGCAGGGCTTGGCCCAGGAGCCATTCAGGTGGTCCTTATGGGCCTGAACACACATCCCAGAGAGGCCAAGACATGCCCCAAAACCTTTGAGTGGACTCAGTAAGCAGAGAGGAGAGGATAGACTGAACCGTTCCTCCTGGAGAGGGCTAAGGAGAGAGAAAATGAGAGTCAATAAAAGTGTAGAAGTCCGGCCGGTGTAGCTCAGTGGTTGAGCGTCGACCTTTGAACCAAGAGGTCATGGTTCAATTCTGAGTCAGGGCACATGCCCGGGTTGTGGGCTCAATCCCCAGTAGGGGTTTTTCAGGAGGCAGCTGATCAATGATTCTCTCATCATTGAAGTTTCTCTCTCTCTCCCCTTCTCCCTTCCTCTCTGAAATCAACAATAAAAATATATTTTAAAAATGTATGAGACTTGCATAAGGAGCCCCAGTCAGAGCATAGAAACATTTTACATACGCCACAGCACTAAAAAACGTTTAAAGTCGCAGGCAAGTGCAGGAAGAGAATGGCTGGGGTGAGGAGAATCAGCAAACTGGAAGCTGCTATGGAGTAAATAAATGCCTCGTAGCGTGGAGGGAAAGCGTAAGAAAGCCATGAGGAGGGAAATGCGAGGCTTGCAGGACAGTTCCAGGAGGAACAGCTGCAAGGGACAGGAGCTCTGAAAGGAGCTGGAGGGGAAATGAAAATGAAAGAAACACTAGAAGAAAATGTGTCTGGCCTGAAGCTGGCCTGCGACGTCTCCCACTCCAAGGCTAAGGAGAAAGGCTTGCAGAGTTCCAAACACAACCGGTTACGCCCAAAGGCAGGAATCGAGGGGTCCCAGATCCCTAGGGGACTTGGAACAGTGTCCAGGGACACTGGTGATCTGATCAAGGGGCTGTTCTCCTGCTGTGTTGGAACGCATTGTCAGGGCAAAGGAAAGAACACCGTGACAGGACAAGGCAGAGAGGGCCCGGCCTCGTTCCCTTTTCCCCGTGGAAACTCCCTTCTCACTGAGACAGTTCAGTCATGACCAAGACCTCAAGGTAGAGCAGACGTGGGACACAGGAGATGGTGGGAGTGGTGACCCTTGCACAACACGTGGTTCAATCGGCATATGTCTGGGGTTTTGCACAGTAATTGCTCAGTAAGTGTTCTTGAGATCTATGCCACATACTGTGAGGCTAGGGATGGGAACGCCCGGCCCCCGGGCCGGATAAGGCCCGTGAAATCATGTGGCCTGGCCCCGCCAAGGCATTGGGGGTGAGTTAATTAAATGTTTGACCAAATACAGCAGGCTGATGTTTAAGTGGATAACTTTGTATGGCCCGCGAATGATGTTATAAATATCCAAACGGCCCTTGGCTGAGAAGGGTTCCCCACCCCGCTGCAAAGGAAGCCTGCATTCTCCTGGGCATAAAAACAGGGTCCAACTTAGCAAACCCAGGAGTGGAGGGAGCAAGGGGTGCCGTGCAGGCAGACACCCTAAGGCCACATCCGGTTGGGGGAGAGGGAGGAAGTACAGGGTCTGCTTTGGTGCCTGAGGGGTGGTGGGGAGGGCATGGCAGGGAGAGTGGCAAAGGCAAATACCATGGGAGGTGTTAACGTAAAAAACCATTGAAATCTGCAAAGAATTTTTGTGAGTTTATTTGAGCCAAACTGTGGACATATGCCAGGAAGCAGAACCTCAACAAATTGAGATAATGCTCCGGAGAATGGCGGGGTTACATCTGTATTTATACATTTGCAATCAAAGGAGGGACGTAGGTGGGTTACATGAAATTCATTGGTGATAGATTAAGGAGGAGGGATAAAGCAAAGCAGTGGAAACCCCTGGGATTGGATGAAAAGTAAAATGATGGACACATACTTAGGTGGGTGCAGGAACAGTTAACATGATAATGAAGGAATTTGTGGTATCTGTCCTGGAGCCCAGCACATTAGGTTGTGCCCCAGGGGGTCCAGAAAAGGGGAAATTACAAGTTACCCAGACATTTCAAGGGTATCCTATCTAATAATAGACAAACATGGTAATTGACCATACCTTCGCTATGCCTCCCATTGGCTAATCAGCATGATATGCAAATTAACCACCAACAAAGATGGCGGCTAATTTGCATACTGCAGGCAGGGTGGGACAGCACCATCCCGCCTGCCCTGCCGCCATCCGGGCCAGCTATCTGTGACCCGGGGCAGCAGGCATCCATGTGCAACCCAACCTGGGGTGGCAGGGCAGTGCAGCAGTGATCGGCCAGCCCGCCCGGCCGCCATCCGGGTGTCCCGTGTGCGACCAGACCCGGACGGCCCATGTGAGACCCGTCCAGGGCGTCCTGTGTGCGACCCGACCCTGGGCAGTGCCCCAAACCCTGGATCGGCCCCCGTGTGCATGACCCAGAGAGGCAGGGCAGGCACCGAGGGATCGGGCCTGCCATCTGCCACCCGGGAGTGGGCCTAAGCCAGCACGTGGTTATCTCCTGAGGGGTCCCAGACTGTGAGAGGGCACAAGTGGGGCTGAGGGACACCTCCCCCACTCCTCCACCCCTGCCAGTGCACAAATTTTTGTGCACTGGGCCTCTAGTGTTATCATAGATGCTAAAAGACAGATAGGCTCAGTTAAGGTAAAGGTTGACCTTGTCAGTGAAGATACTGGCCCAGGACGTAACTGCCCACCATAACTGCTTTAGCTAAAGTTTAATTCCAGACCATGCTTTGTGGTGACTTTAGTCTCTGAGTTTGCAAGACCGCCATGCAGGCCTCCCCTGAGCGCGTCAGGTCAGCCTGTGGCCCCTTTCGTCCACAGAGGGGCCATCACTGCCATTTTCTTTGAGTACGCTAACAGGGAAATAGCTGTTTATTTGTGCTCCACCTGTCTTCCCCTCCCCCCTCCCCCTCTGTGTCCCCTTTCTAAGTCCCTTTATAAACACGCTCCCAGCCCGCTCTGCAGTCTCCTTGGAATCGCAGCACAAGTGGCCAGATTCTGACGGAGGGCCTGGTGCTGGTCACACGGCTCCATGTCACCAGGCCGGGTGCCACCGCGGGGGCTCCTGTTCCACCCACACCTGCCGGCCCCTCCGCACCCCCACACGCGCACCCACCCACCCACCACCCACCCACCCTGCACGGTTGCTGGGAGCTCTGAGCCGCTCTGTGAGTGGAGTGGCCACTTACTCATCTCTGAAGGCGAAGGCGAAGGCGTGCTGCTGCTCAGGGGCCTGGCGGTGAGTCATCAAGCGCATTTAGAAGTTCCCTTCGGAGAAAGGAACATTGAGGGGGTG